TTGCCCGACGTACGAGCTTACAGCTACCAAAGACCAGTTATTCTTTTAAATAACTTGCCTGAAAATAAAATAACACGAAGTGTGGACGCCTACTCTCTCGATGTATATCGAAATATTCCATTTGATATGAGTACTTCAGTTATGATGTACATAGTTCATACTTAATCAAGTATGTACATATACTGTTAGGCAAATTTTAATCAATATTGCCAACAATACATACATATAATATACAGCTATGTACTGTATACAGTATATATCTTATCTATATTCACAATATGAATATATAAATTATTTGTTATTTCCAAATCTGTGGTTAATGAATGGATTTGAAGTAAAGTTACTTTTGAAGTAATTTTTTTTGTATTTTGATTTACAGTGTGCCTGTTAAGATTTATGTATTATAAAGTTAAATATTAAGTAAAGACTTTATTTACATTGTATTCAGCAAACAAAGTACATTTTCCCAGTGATTCTATTCACGACGTCTCTGGTTTGCTTAATCTTTAAATAAGTTTTCTCGGCGAAGGTACATTTGATAAGATTCCATTGTTTCCTAGAGTTTCCTTTTGTTGCAGACACTATTTTATAAACTGATTATTTATATTAACTTTGAAATGTTTAGTATCAACATTTATTTACGTTCTTAAGAATAATTTCATTTATTGTATGTAACGGTCCATTATTGGGAGCACTGTTTACTTTCACAACAGATCTTTTTACCGCATCTAGACTTTTATCAGTAAAGTCATATTGCAATGCGCGAACAACAATTATAATTCTTGTAATAATTAAAACATTTTGGAACTACCCTTTTACATTAACAAATCAATATGCTTATTTATTTTATTGGGATACAATCAAAGTTAGTTTTAAATCTAAGTAGATTTAATGTAATACATTAAAAAATATCATCGTCGGTACCAATAAATATAAACTTTAGAAGTTTTTATAGGAGTACAAGACACCCATATTGCAAACCGGATAGCGAATGCTTACCCAGCATTAAATATATTTTATCAGAGTGGAGGGACCACCTGCCGCAGTATATGCATACATTAAATACATATAGGTAGATAGAGAGGCAATTGGACGTTCGCATCTCTGCGCCCGCGCACACCTGGTCAGCGGCCCGAGTCCGACGCGACACGAATACACTTCCAATATCGAACGCTACATGCTAATTCTACTTTCAAACATTTGATGATGTATAAATGTATTTCAATCTTAAATCTTATGTATGTTTACCATATGACCAGTTAAAAATATATTTTTTTTAACATTTTTACTTACCGTATTCATATCCTACATGTTTTGACATGTGTGAACTTGAAAAACTATCGCAATTAATAATATCTTTTAATAGGGCAAAAGCCTTGGTAGATTATTAATACTATATCAAAACGTTAATAGTTTAGGAAATTTGTTTTAAAAACTTGTGAATATCAAAAGTGCGTATCTCAAGGCGACAGCATTGAGGATCGCAGCCTCCTTGGAGAACCTGTTCCTTGGCGGTATAATTGCAACGGCAACGTTGCAAGCAGATGGCTCACAGCTCATATAAATTACGGACCGTAAATACCAACCATTTATAGACCTATTAAATGTATCTTTGCAAATTCAGCAAGCAGAGACTTAAATCTTAGAAAAGGTCGTCGCAGCCGACCCTCTCAGTTTCTTAACTTTCCCTGAAATTAAATCATATTAGTAGTTTGCTTAATTAAAAGTTAGGACGTAAAAGCTTCTTAAAATTGGAATTTAATTTAAGATTTTATCAGTCAAAAGTTACGAAAACGAAAGGAAAAAAGCCTCTTAGCGTAATTCAATAGATTTTACTTTCTATACTTTTTTCAATATTAATTTTTAAGCTTTTATTTAAAATAAATCAGAATTTCGATATACCTAGTATGTAAAGTGTGAGTGTTTTTTCATAAAGTCTTTTGTGGTACGGTTAGTTAGTTATTTTACGCACTTAATTAACAATGAAAAGTTACTCCAAAAGCTAATAAGGACGTGGCAGTCGGTGAGCGAGGATTCTCGAAGGCTATGTCGGTTCCCCCTCTACATCCCGTCACAATGTTCATTACAGCGCGAACTTCCTTTTTAGTTCCTCTTTCATTTCCAGTGAACTTTCCAACCTTTGCCACGGCTTTAAAATCGAACAGCGAATTGAATTGTTCGTAGTTACAATATTGAAATGAATCCTTACTATTCTGTAATCTCTGTATCATTTTCACAAAGTAAAGTTTCATATTCCATATTTTAATATAAAACGTTGACGTAACGTAATGACTATTCTGATCTGCTTGTGCTTTTAATTAATTTTCGATTTTGTGGCTTCAATAATTTAAAATATTTGGGCATTATACAAAAGAAAAACCTAATTTATAATACTTTGTTACAGATCAAAGCTAAACAGATGCAAGAGATGGATATGACTTCTGACAACGAGGTTTTGGCCCCGCATGAAATACGCCACTCTCGTCACAAGCTGCGGCACAGCAAGAATGGGCGCAACAAGTTGGTGAACAATAAGATGGTGCACACTCAGATCTCTAGATTGGCGCGCACCCAGCAGCAACTCGACGAGTCCCAACAAAGTCTCCAGACTCAAATACTCGACGTACAACGCCGTCTCGACCGTTACGAAGAACCCAACTGGAACCTAATCACTACCAAAGTTGATTTTCTTGAAGTCGAGACCAAAATTCTGCGCTCCGATCTTATGAACATCACCCAAAAAGTTATGGATTTGGATAAAGTTCACTCATCAATGCTGGAACTTCGTGAAGATGTTGAGAGTATTGAGAACAAGGTTGACAAAACAATCCCAGATTTCCGCAAAGAAATTTCTAAACTGGACGTCAACTTTGCTCAAGTAAGTATTTTAGTGTAAGCTACATAGTTTACATGAGAATTTAAAACTAGAAGTCCTGAAATTCTTATTGTCTTTTTTTTGTAGCTCAACGCTCAGTCATCTTACATAAAAGAAGATCAGGAAAACCTGCGCCAATCTGTGAAAGCGATTGCTGTGAGTGTGAGCAACACCATCGACCGTGCTGAGTTGGACCGCCTCGAGATGAAGAAGCTTAATGACTCCATCGTTGCTCTTGAGAGCCGATCCAAGCAACACTTCTACCGTCTTAATGATCACATTCTGAAGGTAAGAATACTTCATTTTCATTTTTTATATTAAATGTACCTTCAGACTATAATAGTAGCTTTTCTTTATTTCAATAATTGTTAACAATTTTTTTCTCCCACAGAGTGAAGCGAACAATATCGAAGCCAATCAAACTATTGTCTCACTTCCGGAAATCATGGGCGAAGTCAAGGAGTTGCAACCCGTTGAACGAGAATACGAAGACCTGGTAAACCAACTGCCCAAGGATTGCTCTGGAGTCTCCGGTCAAGCCGGCGATTACTTGATTCATCCTGGTCACGCTCCCGTTGACACCTGGTGTGATAACGGAACAACTCTTCTCCAACGCCGATACAATGGCAGTGTTGAATTCAACCGGAAATTCGTTGAATACGTCAATGGTTTTGGCAACCCCGCTTCCGAATACTGGATCGGTCTGGAATCTATGCATCGGCTGACCCAGGACAACTGTTCGTCCATGCGCATTGAAATGACCGACATATATGGAGGCTCCTGGTATGCTGAATACAAAAACTTCTTTGTCGGCAACGCGGATTCTGGCTACGCTCTTGAGATCGGTGGTTTCAGCGGCAACGCTAGCGATGCTTTCGAATACCAAAATCATATGGAATTCTCGACAATTGACCGCGATCGTGATATTTCCAATACCCACTGCGCCGGCAATTATGAGGGAGGTTGGTGGTTCTCTCACTGCCAGCACGTCAACATCAACGGAAAATACACCCTTGGCTTGACCTGGTTCGACGCTGCTAAGAACGAGTGGATCGCTGTGGCTACAAGCGAGATGCGCTTGTTCCGCCGCTCGCTCATGCACGGGTGTGTTTAAACGCCATAACCTCTATCCCCTGAGTATAAACAATCATATACGTTTAGATCAGGGAATATATAATTATATTAGCCCTAACGATATTATATTCAAAATATACCAAAGATAAACTAATAGACGATGGTAAATACGAGTATATCTTATCTTTGCCAGTAGAATGTTGCAAATTCTAAGGCTTATTTATAAATCTGTAGTATCATAGTTCTCAGGCCCGCTGGTGTATGTTAAACTGTCTTTTCATTTTAACTTCTTGCATTGTTTCATATAAACTTTCGGGAAATAATCATATTTCCTGTGAAGTTTTAACAATTCAAATTAAATTTGTTTTTAACGAATTTTAATATGTTCATCTATTTTCAAATCAGTTAAAAAATATTTCCTTCTTAAAATATTTATTGTTCAATTAATTTTAATGCAGAAATAAATTTTTTATTATTAATATAAGTATTTAGAATTATGAATTTTTGGATCTTAGGCATTAGATGCATTAATTCAATATTAATCAATCAGTAGGTAAGGTAGATGTTTCAATATTCCGTAAGGATATTCGATGATCAGATTACATTCCATTAGATAACAGAAATAAGTTTCTATTAATTACTTTATTATTCTTTGTTTATATTATTTAGTATTGCAGTAAGTTGTGCCATTGGCACTTAAAAGGAAGACTGTTGAACGCCATTTGTTTATTTTTAAATTTAGAAATACATTCTAGTAATATATATTTTGTGTTCTAAATTTTAAATTAAGGTTTCTAATTGAAAAAAAAATGTTTTGTTAAGATTAAGTTTGTGTCATATTACGATTATTAAATTTTGTGTATACTTTGTGTTGAAATATTTCACGAATGTTTTTGTCGCTTATATCAGTCACTGATTCTGTAAAATGAATACGATTTAAGACGACGACTCGGCTCTCACTTCACCATAACCGATATTGTAGAAAATAACCAATGGATTCAAACCAAATATATTAATCAAGCATATATCGATGTTTTATTTATATTATCATACTATACATAATTTGTTTTTGCCTCACTGATACAGGTAATTCTTAAGTCACTCAGAGGAAACATAACTAAAGTATCATAGTTTCATGGACATATATATAATTGGTACTTATTGGTAATAACTTACTAATATGATAAATGCGATTTTTTAGATAGATGGATTGATGTTTGAAGGTATCTCGGGAACGACTGATCGAATCCGGCTAAAATTTAGTATAGACTTAGAACATAGTCTGGAAGAACACATAGGCTATAAAGTCGCAGGCAACAGCTAGTTTTAAATATAAAACTCTTGTAACTGGTTAACGTTGTACTGCGATTCAACACTATCAGTCTCATTGACATTTAATTTTGTTGTAGAATTTTCGATATCTTCGAAATCTGAAGAATCTTCTTCACTATTGAATTTGTCTTTATCTAAAAATGGTTTGGTAGTGATAGCTGTAACAACGCTACTGATATTCCTATGTTCGTGATTTGTGCTGTTTCTTATGTTTTCAAACATTTCACTTTTCAATAAATGAATTTCACCGGAATATACAAAATCTCTAATATCAAAGACGGTTCCTCTCAGCTTTGCCAGTTCCTTGTCCAAATCTGTTTGTAATATCGGTTTGTCGACAAACGTAAGAGTCAAAGGTTCGAAATTTTCTCTCGTTAAAGTGAGCCACTTTGAAAGGCTGTAAGCTCTTGTTGCTTGAAACATTTCTGTCAAATTGTATTGAGTTAGATTTCGTAAAATTGGCACATTGTGTAGAATCCATCTGAGGGAAACATTTTGCTCGTTAGTAATCTATTAAGGCATGTTAATTGAAGAAAAAAAAAATAATTCCGAATATTTAATTCAGACAAAACATGTTATGTATATCTTACTTATATTATAAATGCGAATATTTGGATAGATGGATGGATGGATGTTTGTTTGAAGGTATCACCAGAACGGCTGAACGGATCTCGGTGAAATTTGGCATACATATAGAACATAGTTTGGTAGAACAGGCTACTAATCATGGTTCTTTTTTATTCCGCGCGGACGAAGTCGTGGGCGACCGCTTGTAGTATAATACAATTTCTGGGCTACAATTAAACAAGAAGTGTTTTATAAAAATTTGTGCTTGCATTATTGCGTATTTAGTTTACTTAGATGCAAATTTCTGTCCCCGTTGCAAATTAATTCCAGTTAAATTTACTAAAGCTTGCTAGAGTTCACTTGAAAAGAAAATGAATTGAACAGAAAATGAAGCTGTAGCGTTTTAATTTTGCTATTAGTGTCTATTGCGTTGCAGTATCTTGTTATGAGTCGACGAAAGTGAAGTTTATATTTTACATTAACATCATAAAATACTATTTCATTATATTGTTATTATTATATCGGAAAAGAATAAGAAAATGGTGTTGACAGACAGTCGGACGAACAACAAAAGTCCTATAAAGGTTCTGTTTTTTCTTTTTAAGGTACGGAACCCTAAAACGGACATTTTACACGAACTTTGAGTAAATATTAGTTGCATATGAATTAAAAACGTGATAAGTATTATTCAAAGAGTATTCATATGTAAGCAATATAGCGAAAGAGGCGTCAAAAATCGCGCCAAATGCTAAACCCCTGTGATTTACGTGTCTGAGTGGTTATTGGTACTCTTTGGACTGTATAATTGCAATGCTTACGGTTGGTAATGGCGCATATCGGTGTAGATTAATGGCAGATCATTTTGGTATCCGCAGCCAAAACCCCACGACTGTAATCCAGCGAGGTGTCCGTCAATGACAAGCGGAGCACCCGGTACGGCCAAACATGGGGTCACCGCGTTCTCCTCCCGTGCTATACCCAGGCATATCATGCCCGGCTTCAGGCGAGTTTCATGCTGAAATCATGAATCATCTGCGTTTATTCCTTCAGAGGGTCGGCACAGTATCTTAACTCTCATATCTTTATCAGATAATTTAGGCACTCATTCTTTATTAATATCAACTATAATTATTTTTTTACTACATACATCAGCAATTGATGTTTAATCGATGTGATAAGTAAAGTTTAATAAGTCATTTATAGCATTTATTAAGTCTTATATGGTTTTTAAGTATATATCTTATATCTTTAAATGAGCAATTCTTGTATATAAATATAATTGGAATCTCAGAATCGGCTCCAACGATTTTCATAAAATTTAGTATATAGGGGGTTTCGGGGGTGATAAATCGATCTAGCTAGCAATCATTTTTAGGAAATGTCATTTTATTCGTGTTTTATCGATAATCAACTTAAACATAAACTTAACTTTTTCTATCGGTAAGATCGAAAAATATTATTTATATTTCATCATTTTATTAGTAATTCGTACTTAAATATAATTTCCAAAAAAAAAAAACAATTTAAAAAAAAAAAGTACCGAGCAAAGCTACTCCAGGTACTGGTTTTTAAGTATAAACCGACTTAAAATGAGAACTAAGTTATCAGAATATAAATGTCTAGAAGTTAACCAACGATAGATTACAAATTAAATTATCTGCTACTAATGCAAGCGGAATGGAAATCGAAATGCAATTTTAAATTCAATTACTTAAACGTACTCCCTTGCACCTCAAGTGCTTTCAGTGACATCTTTTAAAAATTCGGTTGACAACTGTTTTGGAGATGCTTGACACAGTTGTAATAGCTGTAAGTTATGTTTCTTCTTTCCCTTTTCTTGTTTTTGATAAATATAAAAAAAAATATTTCACAATACAAAGGTAATGTAATATTCGTTAGGAGATTCGCGGAATAAAGGTCACTATGGAAGTATACAGAATTATTAAGAATCGGCAATTGTTAACCCGCCTCTTTCGAAGAACTGATAATAATCATTTAAAAAGAATGACCATTACATGGCCGTGTCTTGGTAAAAATTTCTTATATGTAGATACATATATGAATGGGACACATCAAAACTAATATTGTCATCGTGTCTAATGAAACGGCAAGTACGGTTTCTTAAGGGTAAGAAGACAAATGTAAAAACATTTTAGGTCCTACCCAAGTTTTGGAATCTCAACCTCTATAACCTAGAGTCTAAGGTTCGCGACATTTTTCTCGCTTATACAAGTTTCTCTCTTACCGAATTTTCTCGCTTATGGTGGTCGTCTCTCGGAACTAGACAACAACTCTAGCTTATAGTGTTTTGTCGCTTATCCAGGTTTGATTTTAGGATCTTTTTTAGAAAAATTCTAAAAGCAATAAAGTGGTTGCTCTCAAAAAACCGTGCATGTAATTTTTGCATAAATTCCATCGAAATATTAACAAAATGAGAATTAAAATTAAATAAAACAATTTATCATCCTCAATTAATTGCAGTAAAGGAATAACATCGAAAATAATTAAAAATATATTATGATCTGGTTTTTAATAAAAAAATGCATTTTAATTATTACAAAGTAAATGTACTTTTTAATTATATTTTGACTTAATTAAAGCTTTTTCCTTTTCGCATTTCTGGTGTACATTTTTTAAATGTCCAAATATTAAAAAATGAAATATTGGAAACTGTTTTTCGGCACTTAATTGATGTTCAATCAAGTCATTAATTGACACACAATCTATATATATAAAAATCAATTGCTGTTCGTTAGTCTCGCCAAAACACGAGAACGACTAAACGAGTTTATGTGATCTTGGTCTTGAAATGCGGTGGAGGTCTAGCAAATGTTTAAAAGGTGAGAAAAATTTGAATAATTGCCGGGAACTAATTAAGTTCTTTTTCTTTCTACGCGGACGGAGTCGCGGGCGACAGTTAAAAAATTTTGGCTACATAAATATACTTCTTTTAATATTTAATACAAAATGTTTTTTAAAGAAATTAAAGTTATCAATATGTAGAATTCCAATTAGTTATATTGAAGAAATATGAACTCCAGTCATAAGAATTATTTTTCAAATTAAATAATATCAAGAGAAAGTTATAAGAAAACACTCAATCATACGACGAGTATTGGAAATATACGATCTTCTATGTCAATTATAAAGTAAAATTGAAAAAGTAGTATTAACAACAGAGTTTCTACAGCAAATTGGAAAAATAAGTACGGTTTCATTCTATGAAATTGATCTTCAATCGTGGAATGTCACTAAAATGTTGCCGTACTTATTAAAAATATAACCGAGTCTATATAAAATAAAGTTTAAATTATATGGCTTGAATATAAATGTAGAAATAAAAATAAATTACATGCAAACTCACACGTTCGTATCCCTCGCAGTAATAATTAGGTGACGTTATAACGAACGAGATTGTTCTCATCATTGGATCAATTTTCTCGTCCGGATAAAACTTCGTGGAGCGCGGCAAACATAATTCTTTCCCCTTAAAAAACATTGCAATTGTAACAATACAGTTAATTATAACCTACTACTGACAGATCTATTTTTAACTAGCTGTTGTCCGCGGCTCTGTAAGCGCGAAATTAAAAAAAAACATAATTAATATACTATGTCTTATTCCAGGCTACGTCCTATATGCCCAATTTTATCGAGATCTGTTAAGTCATTTTGGAGAATCCTTCAAACAAACACCTATGCATCTAAACAATCGCATTTATAATATTAGTAAGATTATGTACTAGACAATGTATGGTTTAAGAAGGATTTGTACAAGATAAAAAAGAAATGAATAAAAAATCATAAAAATATATTGTCATCATTTTCATTCGTTTTGAAGAATGTGAGATGAAAATATTTTTATAAGGTTATTTGACAGTGAAAAACCAGAGATAAATTATGCTATAATTGACTCAATTCCCATAATTTTATAATACATTTTCAAGTGCTTTTTCAATTTAGTCGTGTATTAAGGGGTTGTGTTGAATACTAAAGCTGAGGTTACAAAGCTACCACAAGCTGTACATGATGTTGGTTACATCGGGAACAATATTGGCTTGAAGTGACATGTTAATAGCCTGTCACGCATGCTCGAAACCTAGTTCATTAACAATCGTGGCTAGGAATTAATTAATTATATCAACGTGAATAGAAGCTAATATGTTGCATAAACCGTAAAGCCGGATACACACCTTCAGTATTAACTGAACAGTAGAATTATTCAGTTCAAATAAACTTGTGTTCGCAACAATGTCAATAAACGAATGACGGGCATAGCAAGAATATTTCTGACAATCGCTTTCAAATCGTCAGCGTCATTTTCGTCAAAATTAGTTTCTATATACTAGTATTCGTGTCAGTCCAAAAGTTCTCAGTTTACATACGTAAGTTATTAGTGAAACTAAAACTGCGCATTTCGAATTGAAGGTGTGTAGACGGCTTTATAATTCTAGTTGTAATATCTAAATATTTATATAATATAAATATAATTAATAACAACATATTGTTCCCTAACTTAATTTACGTTCAAATATTTATTGTTAGTTATTTTTTTAATTTTAATTTAGTAAGTTTATGATGTTAATAAACTGCATAAAGTTTATAATATTAATTGAGATAGGGCAAATTGTTATATCGTATCCATTTCGATATTCCAATTAAACAACAATTGAATGTGGTTGCAATACAAGTGCAATGTAAAAGGTTTTAGTTAAAACGTCAACCGCAATGGTTGCGGTAACAAAATCGGAGTACAGGGCAATAAATGTTATTTTTGACAAATAAAAAAAATATTATTACGAGTACGTACTCTCAAGGAGTCCTATACAGAGCTAAATATTAATATTTTTGGTTAAGATGTTTAAAATAACTGTTAAATTATTAACAGAAATTATTACAAAAATTAAGATATTTTTTTCCTAAGGAATAAAATGAAAAAGACAAAATCGACTTCAAACATTTTTCATCAATAGAAATCTCTCTACATTTTAAAAACCATTAGCTACACGAAGCACTATTCAACATTAGTTACAGTTTCTAGTAAGTTTTATAATAATCTTCATAGAACTGTTTCACCATCATACGTCCAAACTAAGGGGCTCGGAGCCTCCCCTAAGTTATGTGTCTGTCTTACAAAACTGTTTAAATGTTAAAATTAGTACCGTGAGATCGCACCTTCCCCAACCAGTAACGAAAGCTCTTTTATCGTTTACACTTAACGACGGGGCGATCAAACCAACCGGCTTTACGGATATTCTGAAATTTAAAAAAAAATACATGTAATTTAAAAATAAAACGGATTTGAAACCAATCAGACTCAAATAACTTCCTCTAGACCCGAAAACTTTGTGTAAAACAGAGACAAACAAAACTGTTGTTTTGTGCAGTCGTAATTAATACTAAATAGTAGGAGTGAGTATTGTAAAGTACAATATCTGAGGTGGAATATGTTTTTTTTTTTATTTCTTGTTTTAATAACAGATACAGTAAAATATCAGAAATTATATTTAGATCGTGTTCGTGGAAGGAAATAAATGCCAATTAGTCGACGGAAAAATATGAAGCTTAGCTGATCTGTAGTTTGAAAATAAAAATAACAGTATTTTTATCTATACATGTGTATAAAATTGGGCCGTCTGTTTGTAAAAAAAAAATATTTTGTACACAAACAAAAAAAACAATGTTTTAAAAATATAAGTTATTAGCCTAAATAATTAAAAATACTAAAAGTGACGAAGTGGCGGACAAAGCTAGTCGTCAATAAGTATACACCCTATTCCAGTAATGGCGAACCTTTTCATATCGAGGTGAGAGTTTTGTAAAGAAATGTTTAATGAGGTCTTATACGTGAAATCAAAGAATTTTGTCTTTGTGATTTTTTTTATAATATATATAATTAGGTAGCAAAGGAGCAAGGGATCACCTAATTATTGGGAATATTCCCCAATGGACGAAGTTCCGAACTGCTAGTCTGACATAGTGCGACAAACTTATCTGACCCGGTAAAAGAGGCGCTACTATCCCGGTTAATTCTGACAGAAAAAATATAAAAGGCTTTTATAAGACGATTAAATTTTGCCAGAGGGCGTTATTGACCTTTCATAATTATTATTACTTTTGTCCATCGGATCAAGAGTTTGTCAGTCTCTACAGTGACTAGCGTCAAATAGAAAGAGATTCAAAAGTGGTTTGGATTTGTAAGACGGTGCTAATGAAAAAAGGGCTGTATTTTTCGAAAGACATTGTCATTACAAACAATGCAGATGAAGCTTCTTGTTCCATTTTGGCGAGACAAAGGCTTTTTTTAAAAGATAAAGAATTCCATTATTAATCTCTAAAATTTTCTTTACACTTGTTAAGTGCTGTAATTATTTTGCACAAAAACAAGTCAATTTAACAAAATTATGGGTTTTAAAATGTGATTTTTAAATATTTCTATGTCGGTTTTTCATTTGATATGCACATACTTTTAATAATGTGCAATAGAAAAAGAAAATAATAAAATATTGTATCTACTTAGAAATTTATAATAATTTATCATGAAATCGTTTTAATTCCGGATATTTCCACTTCATTTACTGGATTCGAACAGCAAATTTTGACGATTACCGTCGAAATAAGCAAGTACCGGAGTTTATTCAAGTTGATGTACACCGAAAAAAGTTTTAACGATTTCTCGACTCTCGTTGCTTGCAAATTGGCTCCTCCGATGTTAACATTTGTAAGTACCTGGTATTCTATTCTATCTCAAAATCTCTACTTTTCCCGTGGATCATATTAGCAACAATTACCACCACTGTCATTTATTGTATTTACTTAAGCTTTATCACACTTTAATTATTTATTTATACAATGTACTGGAACTTTCGAAGAAAAACTTCCCTAATTTTGACTCTATTGCTCTATCATTTTAATATCTATGGAAAAGTAGAGCAGTTTGTTACAAATTTAAAACATTTTTTGGCATAAACCGTTTGAAATTTAATGACAAATGAGGCACAGAAATGTTAGGAAGTTTTAGAAGGGTTTATAAATATGGTATGTATAATTACTTAAAGACGAATTCTTCATATAATCTTAGTAGAGCCAGGTCAGCATTCAGTGTGTAAGGGTCGAACTCCTCGTGGAAGATGACCAGGACCACGCTTCTTAAAGTAGTTCCTCGGTCGGAATAAGTCTGTCCAGCTACTACTCCTAGTTCATATATAGGAACTCTGCGGACAATTTCAATATATTATTTGGCCAGTTTCGACTATTTCATCTAGTAACATTCCAAGTTTCTCCAAATTCAAAAGAATGATGAAGTATTTTAAGCTACAATAGCAACGAAGTACCAACAGCATAGTAACAAAAATTATAACCATAAAGTTCCAAAATTGTCCTGGTTTATCTTTTGTTAATAAATTGAAATGGATAAAGGAACAAATATTTTATAGAAACTTTAGTAGATCAGTAAGTCTTGTGTAATCCATTAACGTATCCTTTAAAATTTACCGATACTTTTACATTGTATTTTAAAATTTGGCAACTGCTTTCCGATATATCTTGGAATCAGAGACGATTTCGCATACGAGTACGTGATCTAGCTAAGTGAAGGCAACTTACAAATACGTGGCATTACGAAGTTTAAAAAATCTAAACAGTGATTTAAAAATTGTATTTTGCCAGTTTAAAAAAAAACTGATTTAAATTTTCACTGACAAAAAAAATAGCAAAATTTCTAACAACATATTTTGCTAATTAGTTTATTACATGTTGAATCTTCGTTGAATTACACAATTCTACGAGGAATTGTTTCGTTTTAAATACAATCTATGTGTGATGTGATTGAGTTATTTACTTAGAATTTCTGATCGGTATATTCTTGGATGTTGCAAACCGATGTTTGAGTTGGATGCACTTGGTTAGTTAGCAAACAAACTATACACATGTTTAGTTCAACTGATGGTAATTGTGTATTCCAATGAAAGTTAAATCAAGTGAAACTAAGTTTCGTGTTAACTCTACTAAGCAAATGCATCTCAACACAAACCGTAGTAATCAACTTACTATCCACTATATATACTTGTAGACTATCTCGTAGACTTTATTATGAAGGTAGATTTTAATATTTTATTTATATACCTAATTCTATATCATAATCCTTAGTGTTAAATTATGAAATGTTCAATAAATATTACGTCTATTAGTCCAAGTCTTAAGCCCTTTGTACACAAAGCAAAGTAAATCTTCAAAACTAATTGTATCACGTTGCGCGCTACGTACATACAACATTGAATCGTTGCCTATTTGGTTAGTACAGACATAGCGACATGTCACTTGTATTTTGCTCTACCGTCTTGAAAATCACAGCGACGATCGTCACAAACACTTACCTTTACGTTGCCTTGTGTACAGCCTTAGTCTTCGGTAACTTAATGTAATAAGTGTAAATAATTAACAGGCTTACTTAGATAGAGGGTGTGCCACAGTAATTACCAGTTTCCTGGTCAATAGCGCTCCTGTCACGTAATGGCTGAGCATCCTTCGTACACTTACAACATACGGATGTTCTTGTACAGACACTCGAACCCCTTTGAATATCTACAAAATATTATAGACATTTAAACACAATAACAATATGGTTTAATAGAATAATTCTCTAAAAGTGTTTGCAAAAAAAAATGTTTACTTTTTTTTAGTTTTATAGCAAATTTTAATGGAAAGTGTTTAGCAAATATCATCTTTGTTTAGAATATAAATGGCCGTGTTTTTATTGTTTGCATTTCCACTATCGAAACAGATTGTTACTAAAGTTAATGTCCAACTTGGATAATGTATGGGTTTTAAATAAATAAAAATGTCACTAAAATGCCATTTTCTCGTAGTAAATAAAAAGAAAAATATGAATAACCTATAATAGAATAAAAGGCACGAGGAAATCCACCTTCTAATTTGGAGACCTTACTTTGGTTTGTATACTGGTGAGATCTAAAGTATGTTAATAAAAGATGTAATATAAATATTATAAAATCATAGATATAAATAATTGTTTAAACTTACTTTTCTATTTAGTAGCGGTATATCCCCAACATTAGGATAACCAGCACTTTCAAACAGATTGCCGTAACTTGCTTCCGAAATACTTTCAGAAAAAATTATTTCCTTTCCTGTTGTAGTACCAACAACAATAACTGCAATAAATTAAATGATTACCAGTAAAATAAAACCGAATACGTATAAATACGTATAAAGTTAACTAGCTGTCGCCCGTGATTCCGGCCGCTCGGAATAAAAAAAAAATTGATATCCTATATGTTTTTCCAGAATTCGTTCAACATTCATGCCAAATTTCACCAAGATCCATACAGTTGTTTTGGAGATACCTTTTAACAAACATCCATCCATCCATTCATATAAACATACGCAATTATATTAAGTAAGAAGTAAGATACACTAATTTTATTTGTGTGTAGACAATCGACTAGAGAGCCATTAAATTTCTTAGATTTGTTAAAAAAAATACACGTCAGTATTGGGTTTGCAGGGAATTTCATGCGAGCTTTTAGAAGCCCGGAGCTCAATAACGAGCAGTATTCAGGGATGTAAACCTCTCGTAGGTTGCATGCAATGTGGAGCAAAAATACTATTTTGAAATAGTCAAAGCTATGGCCAATTAGAGAAAGAAATATAAAATAATTTGTATTTTACATTTATTTATTATAGAACTATAATGTTGCCCGTAAGTTTTGAGGCCCGTTTTCGAGGGTAGGCAGAGCTAATGTATATAGCACGGTCTACAACACATCCAATGTTCTAAATCTCTGAATACCAGTTACGGATGCGCTTTTTCAATTGAAATGGTATATTGCTTAAATTATGTGAAATTAAGGTAGTGAAATTACAATAATTCGCATAGAATTCACATATAAATATTTAAGGGTTCACATATTATAATGCTCTACCAAACATTCCTACTTATAAATATCTTAATTTGATTCGACATTTATGTTTCTCAGCTGATGTTTAGTAAAGATTCAAACCCAGATCTGAAGTAATGAGCTTGCCAAAATTTATTTATTTATTTATTAAAAATGTATGCACATTAACAATTAAACAAACAGGTTGAGCGTTGGAGTCTGTCATTGTATGAACTGTGGCAGACACCGGCGCCTTTCCTTTACGATTTACATAGTTAACAAATTAATTAAAAACTATTTAGAATTGACTAAACCATATACATGTTTAAATACATTTCAATATAAATGTAAAAGTAACTTCTGCAATTCAAATTGTATATTTCTTTCTCTTTTCGTATAAAACACATCTAGCGCCGTGAAATGAAAATAGAAAACCTTACAACTGCATAAAGCAATACGTGATCACAGCTCCGAATGTTCGTTGCGTTTGTTCAGGAAAAAAACCGTTTTAAAAAGACTAGTTTAGACAGTAAATCAAACATGGAGAATTTTTTACATTCCCACCAACTCCACACACTGTGTGGCGTGCCATATTTTTTAAATAACCTCCACTGACTATTTCTATTTTTGTCCGACAGTTGAGAGGTTTATAATTATGCTTCTGTGTTTGTTATTGTAGGTTGTACTAGTTATTGTCGGCGTAGATTTTAAAGTCCGAATCAAACATTCACCTTTTAGATCTTTAGACGACAAATGTGAAAAAGCCGGAAATACGTAGTTAATTATTTGTTGAAAAGTGTTTTTGTAAATTTTATAGTAATTACAAAGTTTAACCCCATATTAGAAATAAACAGAACTGAAAAAAGAACGTTGCGAATTGCCTAAACCACAAATATATTTTAAAAAGGTAGAAGATAGATATACATATAAGATATAAAAGAGATAAGTAGAAGATAGAAAAAGATTAACTTCGACATACGAACTGTCACCAATTATATTAAAAAATAAACGTCTTTCTAGAAAGCAGTAGAAAGTTCGTATAACATGCACATAGCATTTCACTGCTAACCCTTAAAATCTAAAGTTAAAACGAATGTTATTTTGATTGCTACTTTACCAAGTTTATTAATTAAAATATTATGGTTAAAACTAAAATTTCCTGTGTTTCAACACTCAGAAATGTATAAAAGTTTACTATACAATTTTTCGAATTTAGAACGCTGAAGTTAACACTAGCTGTTGCCCGCGAATCCGTCCGCGCGTAATTAAAAAGAAATCATAATGAGTAGCCTACGCGTTCATCCAGGCCATATTCTCTATATATGCCAAATGTCATCGAGATCCGTTCAACTGTTTTGGAGATATTTTTAAACATCCATCCATCTATTTAAAATACCCATTTATTGCTGTTTTTATATTAACGCCTCCATAATGAAAAAAGCTAATATAAAAGTCAATAAAAACGAATAAAGCTCTACGATGTACAATAGTTCAAAGGGCTCGTTGTCAGTTCTAATCAGCAGTATAACTCCTATTCAGTCTACAAACTAGAATGAAAAATTGAAAAATTAGAAATCAAATTGGTTTGCTAGTTTGTTATTTCATATTTCTCTAATATAAGAATCAAATAGAAATTCGATGTTGAATGGTAGAGTAATTTTCTTCAATGTTATAGGAATAGAAATATAAATAAGTAGTCGACTTACGAATGGTCCAGACTGCTGCTGAGTTAATTGGCATCTTTCAACGAAATGCTTCTAGACTTCGTTTTACATTGAAAATGTATCGTATGAAAAAAATATAATCTATATGGTCTTGATATAGATAATTATTTGTCTTTGTATAATATTAATATAATAATGATTCAAATGCATATACATTTCATATAAAAAATATATTATATTCAAATGCCAAAAATTAACGTTACTTAAAAAAAAAATTACGTAGTCATGGAAATAAACATGTTTTGAGTAGACTCCATGTTACTAATATTATAAATGAAAATGTTTGACCGTATGTATGAATGCTTGTTAGAAGGTATGTCTAGTACAGCTGAATGAATCTCGCTGAAAATTTGGCATAGATGTGGAACATAGTATGGAAGAACACATAAGTTAGGCGGACAGTTAATTTTTAATATGAATAAAAAATATTTAAATAATAAAACTAAAATGATTAATATTGGTTTATTAATAAATATTATAACAACTTATAGTAAAAAAAAACAATACATTAAGTACTATTTAAATACAGTAAAAATGAAAATTATTTACATTTTAAGTTTTTTTTTTAAATAAAAACAATTCTTTGAAGAATAAAAGTAATGAGTTAGGTACAATATTAAAGACGAAATAACAAACAACTATTACAATATGACACATAACAAATAACATACAACTATATAAGACTTTATATACCTATAACGTTACACTTAACGTTGGTTTCTGAGATCAAATATCTGACAAACAATATCTTCTAATATCATATTTATATATCTGTAAAAAAAGATATATAAATATGTTTTAAACGGGGACATTGGTCTTGGAAACCCACGTTTAGTTACTTGCTTTATCCAAGTAATCACCTTGGTAACTTATTGGCATAAACAGTGTTACCATTTTTTTTATAATTACTGTGGAGCTTGTAACTAAAAATATATTTGGAAAAGCATAATAAAATATCAGTACTTAAATTCGAAATCAAGATTATCAAAATAATAAAATATTTCGGCAAAATAAATATGAATACAAAATATTCGTAATTTCTTTTCTTTCATCGACTGTTAGGGTTGTTAAATGTTTCAGATTGTTTGGTGTTTTGTAACGAAAATAAGTGGTGGGTGTAAGTTTTACGAACTAAGTTGCTTTGCCGAGGTTTTCGATATTAATATGTATACTTTTAATTGCTGTTGTAACTTAGCTAAAAGTTTCAGGCACAATAAGTACTTATCTATTATAATATCCAAAATTGAATATTATTTCTGGCGATAAACTGAAAATAATTGAACTGATAAAGATTTTTCACCGATTGAAGTCTAACAGCGAAAACCTACGCTATTAATATTAGCTACGAATTATCTCCTAGTAGTAGTTTCATATATTTTGGCCAAGTACTTTGAAAAAAAAAACAAGTAATGGGTGAGAAAAAAGTTTTCAAAGCACTTTAACGTTTGCAATCAATATTATGTGCAAACTTAAAATTTCTATTTCTGTCAAATGTAATGATGCGGTGTTTATAATGAAATTGATGATTTTTTTTTCGTCTGTGTTCTTTAATCTTTGGCAAGAGTGGTGACTCGCATGTCGCCACTGCTCGGCGTGGCGAGGCGGACGGCGGCGCGCGGCGGCCACATACCCGTCTGACGATCTTGTGTGCGCACCCCGTACGCCCGAGCACTCGTTGATGACAAAGAATGCACCGATATTATCTGAACAACACAGATTTAACATCTATACAAAATACTAAATTAAAATTAGTCTATCTGTACGTGAACAACATAAAGGCTGTGACGTCACAAGTCTTTTTTTAAGTGACAAGTGAAGATTTAATAAACTTTAGACAGGTGCATATCTCAAGTCATAAAAGTAAAAGACAAATGTACTTTTCTCTATAGCCGGGGAATTTCTAATGACAATGCAAAATTCAAATATAACTGTGCAAACACAAACAGTCTGTTGACTGATTTAACTAACAATAACAGAGATATTTAGTTACTATACGGGTTGATATTTGAGGAACCAGGTCATGTTAGATTATAGAGTATACTGTGTTTGCTAACGAACGCAACTCCGCAATTTGATAACCGGACCTCTATAGAATTCAATTTCTCGGACACTTGATGCAAATAAACGTTGTAATACTGCTATGACTCATGCAAACTCTAAAATAAATGTTGAATTGCACTGACATATTTTAATATCCAACTGTAATTTATTTACATATAATATACAGACGTGTTAAATAGAAAAAAGAGAGTCGGTGGCTCAGGGGTTAATTACTTGACTTACAATTTGCAGCATCTTCGATATTCAATTTGCATATGTATATTTATCTGACATTCTTACGTTGAAGGAAAACAGCGTGATGCAACCTTCACATCTCTAAGAAGAAATTCAATGATGTGTGTGAAGTCAACCAACCCACACTTGGCTAGAGTGGTTGACTATCGCTTAATCACCCCTAACTTAAGGTAGACTCCGAGCCTCTCAGCGGGGACGCATATTGAGCTGATGATGATGATGAAGATGATATGTAAATATGTAGATACACTTTGCTTTACGACTTAAGTGGGAATGTAGGTAGCGAATATAATACCTTTACTGTACTCACCCTGGACCTATGTCTGAGAAGTGGGCGACTTTCAGTGGAGGATGCGTCGCCTTCAATATCTCTCGTATTGTAGCCTTGAGCCATGCGCCAGAATATCAACATTGCAATTGCCAGGGCAGCGGCGTAAACGAAGAATTCCGAAGCCTAAATTAACACAACTTTTAAAGCCACCGTACACGGATAGATTCAAGCAGTCGGTACCGACATTTAATAATTGCCGATTGCCTCAACACGGTAACTGCGTACTATGGTTCGGGTACAGCAAACACCTATCAGTTTAAGCTGCCGCGTCGTGCCGATAGTTACTGCTTGAAGTATTTCGTATACAACACCCCTTATTTTACAGATTTACAAACGAACTGATATTAGTATATTAAGACACAAAATATATATTTCTCCGTCACAAAGTTTCCCTTATTATAATTGCTACAATAATCAAAAAAAGGCAAAATGAATCTTACTCTAGATTCAAATATTTTTGTCTGCGCAATTAAAATCACTATCAAGTTTCCGAACGCCACAGACACATACCACGCAGCTATTGTTATTGTTTTCATGCTTTTTGGTGCCTAAAATACAAACAAAATGTTTATTTATATTTATAAAATAAAACATATAAGCGACGACATAAAATACTAAAGTCGACAAAACATTATACAGTCAAATCTGGATAAGCGAGAGTCTAAAAGACCGCGATATTTTTTTCTCTCTTATAGAGATTTCTCGCTTTTCCAGGTTGAACTGTACAAACAAATTAAATTACTTACTTGTGTGAAGGAAAATTCCAATCCTGATACAGCAAACATGATTTCCGCTATAGATACTAAGAGATATTGAGGCACGATCCACGCTAGGTGTAATTCGTTTGGAGGATTCGGTGCGTGGAGTACCGCAGCATCCAAACGTCCCAGTCTTTCGCGCAAACAAAGTACGTACACACCACCGGCACGCACGTAGCCTTCTCCAGAACCAGATAATTCACCACTTGCACTAGACGCATGCCATTTGAATCTAAACAATATAATCTCATCAATATCTTTTCCTCTACTAGTTCCTTTGTGGAATTCTAAATCTTTTAAGGAAATCAGGAGCAAACTTGTTATTAAGATGACGTGTAACTAATTTATGTAATCAGCTTCCTTTGCTATTAGTTTCTGTGGCGACAAATATTGTTGTGTTTTTTTAAGACAATATGAGATATACAAATGATCCATATCAATCAGGTGAGAATAACACCAACATCTAACTATAGTTAGGATTTTTTTAATAACCCGTCTTTGAAAATCTACTAAGAAATAAGCCATGTAAAGAAAAGAATATTTTTTAATCCACTTTATCGTACTATATGAATTCACAATCGCCCTGAGACGGATAAAGCTTAAATTGAAATAAAACTTTAAGAAAATTTAAATTCTAAAGCTTCTTAATAAAATGAACAACTTTCTATGTCTGTCGTTTAATAACATCCAAGTTCTGAACATAAAACTTCTTCATCTTCATATCTTATCTAAACTTACGCAACTTTCAGTTGTAAAATTCATAGAAGCCTTTATAAACAGAACGATGCATATTAACTTACTCGTCGACGTTTATTCCTTTTCATTTTATTTCAAGTTAGCGTTAGAATTTTCTCCTTCATTTCCGTATCTCGTGTAACGCAATTTATTTAACTTTTGCAATTCTACAGTAAAGGAAAATAAATATTCCAGTTCCTTAGAGATTATTTGTGCATTTAAAACATATGGTAAATGTTTGATATAAAGTCGCGACATCAATAATAATCATAATACCGGGCGGTTGCTTTTAGCACTTTGTTTTTTTTTTAAATATTAGCAGATTTCTGTGTAAATTTACTAATATTTCTTTTAACCGTTCCAAATAAGCTCCAAGCTTGTGCTAGGCTATGGTTTACGGCAATAGTCGAATGGCGGGATTCGAACCCTCGACCTCGTGATCGGAAATCCGTACCCTTAACCATTAGGCTATTGACGCTTAAAGTTAAAGAGTATATTTGTTCCTGACTTGTCAAATCAAAAGTTGTATATGTTGTAATCTGTTTAATGTGTTTCTTTTATTAGTGTTATTATAATTACCGTGTTAGGAACACTCACTTCCCCGGCTGTAGACACATGTATGCAGATTCACCGATGTGATCAACTGGAGCATCGGACACGTAGTATATATCATTCAGTCTCTTGTCCGTTTCCACAGTAATAGAAATATTCTTATTAGGCCCCGTGTCTCCCACGTAGACAACCCTGAACGTACACAATCAAAAAGGTAATAGCCCATTGTAATTGCCGTACGTTGAACGCCGACAGAAAATTACAAACAGGTGGCGCTATTTGTAACAATAATTGGCTGATATATCCGTCCGCAGATAATAACATTTTCGCCACTACACTTAGAAGATTTAATACCCTTGTGTCCTTTATTTATATTTCGAATTGAATAGAATTGAATTTGATTGGATAGAATTAATTTAGATTGGATAGAATTAAGTTGGATTGTATAGAATTGAATTGGAATGGATAGAATTGAATTGAATTGAATATTATAATGCGAAAGTTAAGATAGATGGATGGATGGATGTTTGAAGGAATCTCCGGAACGGCACAACGGATCTAGGTGAAGTTCACCACAGATGGAACACAGATGAACATAGTCTAGAAGCACGTATAGGCTACTCATTAAGTTTTTTAATTCCGCGCGGACGGAGTGGCGGTCGATCGCTAGTATTAAATAACAATAGTTGTCTAATCAATTTAGGTATACTCACTTGAGTTTCGGTTTCCCCGTTAAGGACTTTCCGAATTGATTTGGATCCATGAAGTAAAATCTTATTTGATCGTCAGAATTCTGACCAACAATCACCGGCATAAACTGTAATTAATTGAACAGTAATTGAACCAAAGCGATAGTTTCGAACAAAGCTTGCTACTAATAAGTTTACAAATTGTTGTCAAATCAACTCAAAAGCAATTCGGATTGCAACTAATTTTGCACAAATATCTTATTGCATTTATACAATAGTAGACGCGAACAACATGAAAACTTAATTACTTATCATTAGTAAATAATGAAACAATCAATTTTAATTTCTTTACAATAATTAGTTAGTTTTCAAGTAACACATTAACAAATTACAATTGTAAGCACAACGGTTTGATTAAAATAAGCCCCGTAATTTATAATCTTACTGATGAGCTTATAATGAGAAATTGCAGTGAATTTTACATTCACATATATTGTCACATTATCTGCAGTGGAAACCCAGTTGCACCAACACACAAAGACATGCATCATCATCATCATCATAATCAGCCTAAACTTGTCCACTGCTGGACGTAGGCCTCCCCCATCGATTGCCACAATGCCCGGTCTTGTGCCGCCCGCATCCAGTGCACTCCCGCAACCTTGACCAGGTCATCAGTCCATCGTGCGGGAGGCTTACCTAAGCTGCGTCAACCCGTCATGAAGACATGCATGAGGGCAAATTAATTTGGAACATACCATGCCTGCAACTGTGTGTAGCTCTGCTTTGACTACGTGTTGCTTTATAATCCTTCCAGCGCAGTGATATGGGCAGGTCGCCGTGAGACCGAGGTTACGGTGCGGGAGGGGCGAGGTGAGAGCAGTCCCATGGGTCTCCACAGGAGCGATTCCCTCACCTCGCACCGCTATCTCAACGGGACACGCCAGCGTGTTTAAAACAACCAACCCAGTTTGATCATGTCCTGGGACTTGTAATGTTGAACGCTAAGCAAGAAATACATAATAAATTTTTTGTACGATCACCGACCCCCATGGATGTCTGTAACACTTTAGAAAGTGTAATTGCCAATCTTTAAGTAAAAGGTGCGCTGGCTTTTTGTATGTTGTCGTCTCCCTTAGTCGTACCGCTTATATCTTATCAGCATTTTTAATTCTACGCAGACGTAGATGCGGGCACAATCCAGTAAACTTACAAAGGGACTCTGCATTTTAAAACGCCTATCAATTAATTATGAGCAATCAACCCTAAAAGTTTAAACACTAACAAGAAATAATCAGAAAAATTATTTTATATTCTGATTATTTCCTGTTAGTGATTATTATAATGTGTGCATTGTATGTTTTCGTTCCATGAAATTACAAATAATTTATAATTATAAATTCCTTTGTTTAAAATATTTAAATTCCCAAAACTGGTATTTTATAACTGGTCGAATTCGTTAATTATAAAATGTAGTTTTATTTTTAACCTGTATGAATAATTAAATATTGATGATCGTTACCTCTATACCAATTTGCAATATCCCAGCGGAGACGAATGCCATAGCAGCTAACATACCGCCGATAAACATCTTCTGTAACGGCGGCAGATCTGGTAGTATCGGCCACACTCCACCGGAGCACACCGGTATCATCACCAACACCATGGCTGGATTCATCACTTGCAACTGATCAGGCATCAGCGTCATGCCAAATACTTCACTACGTAGTCTTGATGCTTGAAATGTCCAGCGGGAACCCTATTAATGACAAGCATGAAAGAATTTATAATATTAAATAATTTTAGAATTTTTTAAGCAAATTAGTAATGAGATTGAATGTGGATGGCTACAGCGGTAAAGAAAGAAAGAAAGTATGGATTGTGTGAAAGAGGATATGCGAAAGAAGAGAGTAATAGAGAGATATGACAGCTGATAGAGAAGTATGGCGGAGTAATTTTGACATTTCAGTTGTACGGGTTTGGGCTAATAATTTGGTATATATTTTTGTATTTCTTCTAGATCTCAGTTGCAAAGAAATAACATACATGAAAAGATAATTTTTTAAATAAAAATAAAAATATTTCAATTAAAAAAAAATATTCATAATCACCTGTTGATCGAAAAGCGACCAAAAAATTGGCACCGGCAAATAAAGATACAAGATGGAGCAAACCACCTTCATATCGGAGACCAGTTTTGGGCCGTACTTTTCAGCTGAGTAGTCGAGCCAATGCTCCAAGGGAGGTCCATCTGTGTTAGGGTCGTGACGCAATCGCTTTCGAAACGCGTACTACAAATAATATGAGCAAAACTTAAAACTAAATTAAATACGACAAACAGCATGTTACAGCCTTGTAGTAAATTTAGGTAAAGTCGAAAAAAAAACTTTGACGAAACGGATCGAAATGGGCATAGTTCAATGGAAAATGATTTTTATCACAACTTTTAGTATAATGCGATTCAAATTGTTTTCATTGTTAAGTTCATCTCTGGTTGCATAATTTTCCACGTTCCAAACTTAAAACAAACTAAATTTTCACACAGTCCAGGCATTTATTTAATCAAAGCAAGCGAACTATACTCCAGAGTAGTGTTTAATTTAAAAACTTTTCTCTCATTTCAGTATGTCATGCTGCTTTAGAAAGGCAGCAAAAATAACAGCAAATAAACCATTATAACTTCAAAATATCTCTAATATATAGAAATAAAATTAAGGGTAGTCAACATTTAGAAATTATAGACAACTTCAAGTAAAATAAAATGCCTTGCTTTATCAATCATGAAAATGCTCCTAAAGTTTTTAATTTACATTAAAAATATGTTATAGACAAAAAAACAATAAAATTATTGTTAAGTAATAAAATACTTATTTAAATTTGAACCTAAATCTAAAATCGATAAAATGCAAGTAAAAATTGTAGCAGATGGTATAAAATAAACTTTTTATTTGGTTTTAAAGTTTCGTCTTTCACATTTGGCAGCGTGCCAAGCCTAAAATGCGCCCAGCTTGTATGAATTGATAACAAATTACCTGATATCAATTATGAGCACATATTTTCATAAATAATAGCTACACCACAAAAATATACCCATCCTAAATAACACCTAGGGTCCAGTCGCACAACAATAACGTGGGCTCAAATACAAACCCTCTAAAATAAAAAATAAAAAGTCAACAACTTACCCACGCACATGCTGCAAATTTTAACGTAACATTGTCGCGAGGCTGTTTTATTCTATACCAAGGTTTTCCAGCGATAAATATTACTGAAAAGACAGCGATTGTAAATTTTATCCAAACTTATAATAAAATCTGTTTTGCTATCGAGCATCTGTTGGGGACTAAAAAGAGACAATCCGAGTATCTTCTTAACTGCTTCATTTTTTCTTAACAAACTTAATACATTTTTAATAATAATCGCACTAACTGATAGACAGGAACCTTCCCTAGAAACCGCGCGCATCGTGAGAAGGTTCCTGTCTCTGTAGCCCTGACCACTGATTGTTTGAGTCATGGGTTTCCCCAGCCGGTGATGTTCTGTTTTTAATATAATATGTTTTGTATATTTTTTTTTGGATATGAAATGTACTATATTAAAAATATGATAAATAAATGTATATGTGCGAAAAATCGCACTAAAAAGGATTCGCTTCTCACTTATAGATACAAGGACAAGTAGTGCAGGAAATCCAAAGCCGAGGGCATAGCAGGCGTCATCACCGAAGCACATGACACTACGCCGGAGCGCTGGTGTCACCACCATACCCATGAATCCACCAAGGTTCACAGTACAGTAGAACGTCGAGAAGAAACTTTGGAGCCTCTGATTGTCTTCAGGTAAACGAAACTGTAAACGAAATCTTACTGTTCACATATTTCATCGATCGATATCGAACAGGATTCAGATAAAGTAAATGTGAATCGATATGCCTCTAGTTTAATACAGTAAGCCGTCTGGATAGAACAAGACACAGTATAATTAGGTTCAAACTTTATAGCGGCTCGTCATTAGCTTCGAGCATGTCTTCGAAATCGATCATGTTTGTCACTTTTTAGTATAAAAATGTTTACAATATGAAAATTCAAAAACATATTTTATATTAAATATTTGGGTACATACTAGTTTTATAAATCTACACACCTACTGACACTAATAAAAAATAACAACGTTTATGTTACAGTAGCTATTCAGTGAATGCACACATTGATAAACTCATAAGATTTTCTTCCTGATAATTTCCATCAGAGCGACCAATCGGCATTATTTACACTGGACTAGTCAATCGAATTCACCTTCGTGTGTCTGATTAGATGCATAAGTTCTGAGATATTATTCATCATGGTATAATGGATGATCTGTTAGGTCGGCATTTACAGCTTTGATCTTTCCTTTACAGATACTGTACATATTTATCTTCCATCTCATAGTACTATCATTAAATATGCTCCTACTAATTTCAAGGGTTCATTGGTCGAAGGTAGTCAAAAGATTACGAGGCAATAAGTTCGAATTCCAAATTACATCGTAAACCACATGATAGTACAAACTTAGAACATAATTGGAATCGTTATAGAAAATATTAAACTTAAGTAATCTGCTCGTAAAGTAAAGAAGCCCGTGTAGTAAGATTAAAAGTCAACCAACCTGATCACCCCCAAACGCTGCAACGCAAGGCTTAATACCACCAGTTCCAGTAGCGATCAGTGCTAGACCGATCATTGAAGTAGACCTGAAACATAGAATGACTTAAAAAAACTCTCATTATAAAATTAATAGCAGTTCCGGTTGATGACGTAGAATAAAAATATAACCATAACTAAAAGTTGAAATTACAATTAAAAAAAGCTTTATTATATCTGACCAGATTTTTAATGGCAGTTAAGTACAAAAAAAAACTAAATGAACATTTAGTACAACTTACGTAGCTGGTAACATTAACGGTGGTATGGCAGACAAACATGTCAAAATTGTTCCAATCAAATATATTATTGAGAAATATAAAATTACTCTGAAACATTGAAATTATGTTAAACAATATATTAACAGTTATACAGTTAATACTCAAAATGCTGTCAGCTTAAGCCTCGATGTGTTTAATTTTTTTATAATCAATATATATTTTTATTAGTAATTTTGAGTACGAGGTATCAATATACACAAGTAAAAATCACGATTTCCAATCTATCATTTTTACAATGACAACTAAATTGTAAAATGATTTTAATGACGATATGTAATATTTTAAAAATAAAATAACACAATGTGTACCTATATCGCCCTATAAAATTATCAGCTAAAATTGCACCCATCAACGGCATCGTATAGCACATCATTATAAATATATGATACACTACGGTAGCAGCATTCTCATGCAGGCACAAAACATTCCTCAAATACAATGACAATATAGCTGAAAAAAAAATGAAATAGCAGAAGCGCTATATGGCATTTTTACTATGTACTCAAACTTCCTGATTGAATAAAGCCGACTCAAAACTATTGTATTGATGAACGAAAATAACATCTGAAAAAAAGAACTAAATCCTAGGGAACTGTGAGCGGTGGGTTAATAACAAGTGATTCATCAAACCTGTGACAGTTTTAAACGAACTTACTCCTGAGTCCACAGAAAGAAAATCGTTCGCAGAATTCTGTTGCAATTATACAAAATATTGATGTAGGATGGCTGTGAAACATAATCACTAATCTATATAACCTAATAATATAATAAACAAACAAAACAAGATTTTTTAAATGTGACTGTTGTTAAAGAGAAAGAATGATGCCAAAAATGATTAACTAGTGTCAAATTAATTTTTCATAAAATATGTTCACGTAAAATCCATATATCTTCATAAAAATATCTTTTTTTTCTGCATCCACGAAAATCACTCTTGGCAGAATGCCATCCAAAGTTTCACGTATTCGTGTGAACTGCCGAATGTTTTTGTTATTTAATATTTCAGTATGCAAGCGAACGGCAAAGTTCTAAAATAATAACTACAATAAATATATCAATAAATTTAGTTTAAGAATTTAGTTTTTTAAGCCATCAATTTTTACTTCCCTCAAAACATCCCGCGTTTAATCCAAAGTTAACTCTTCAAACATCGCGGGCTGGCTTGGCGGGCTGATCAGAGTTGAAAGTGTTGTCAGTATAAAAATGTGAAAAAATATGACTTATCATTTAAAATAAAAAATTAAGGTAGTACAAATGTACATAAGATTGTGTTATTTTTATTAATTTTATAAATTATATATTTACTTTTGAGAATGTGCAAACCACATATGTTAGGAAATTGTAAGATTTTCTGACGTTTGATTTGACAGTAGATGTCTGATTGACAAGAGCTGTCATAATGACAGTTTATAGACAACGCAAGTGATTATTGGTTGCGAAATGAAACCGTATACATTTTTGGCAGTTACCATTACGACTTACGTTTCGCTGTGACGTATTTTAATGAATTAAATAAAGTAAAAGTTTAAGTAAATCTGTTTAAGCCAGTTGTGTGTCACTATTTGTAGGTTTAATCCTTCTCTTTAAAAACCGCGTCGCCCTTCGGTGTATGTTTTGTCCGAGTAATTAAAACAATGAAACGTTTGCTTTTACTTTTACTGTATATCATAATTATTAATGATTCGGTGAAAAGTGCTGTCATATCTGACAATGGAGACGTTGATGAACAGGGCCTGTATAGTAAGTCGGACCATGTTATGATATTAACACGAAAAAATTTTGATAGAAGAGTTTATGGTCAAAAACATTCATTGCTAGTGGAATTTTATAACAGTTATTGTGGTCACTGCAGAGCTTTTGCTCCGAAATTTAAGAGTTTCGCTGCAGATATAGTGTCATGGAAGAATGTTATACAATTAGCTGTTTTAGATTGTTCTGTGGATGAAAATAATGAAATATGCAGACAATTTGAAATAATGGCTTACCCATCATTCAGATACTTACACGAGAATTATGTTAAAGGAAATGCAAATGTGGGTGAACGTTTTGAATCCACAGATTCAGCTGAAAAGTTAAAATCACAACTTATATCCAAACTACAATCAGAGCAAAGTATGGGACGTTTAGCATTTGCCCCACCACTTGGAATTGCATCTTATGCCACATACACTTCTGCACTAAGTGATGTACCAAATGATGTGATCTACACATTCCTTATATTTGAAAATGCAAACTCTACTGTAGGGTCTGAACTTGCCTTGGATACATCTACCTACAAGCAAATTAGAGTTAAAAGAGTCTTTGATAATTGTGAGCTGGCAAACATAGCAGGTGTTACTCACTTCCCAGGTCTTGTTGCTGTACGAGCTACATTGGAACCCACTCCATTAACTCCAAAACTTCCGACGAAATTAAACTTATTGAAAGCTATTAATACTTTCTTGAGATCTAAAAACTATGCATTCCCTGCATCGGAAATTGATATGAAGGACAATAATTTGTACTCTAATTCGGAAGAAAAACTGAAACTCTCAAATTCTGATGTAGTTTACTATAGTGACTTGGAAAAAACTCTTAAGACAATATTCCACACTGAAATAACGAGACATAAGACTTTAAAGGCAGAAGAACTACAAGCTCTTTTAAACTTTTTGGATATACTCTTAGTTGCATTTCCATTCAAAGGCAACCTCAGAAGTTACACTGAAGATTTAGCACAAACTCTGCGAACAAAAAGTGTATGGGGCGGTAGTGAAGTGTATGATTTGGTAAAAAGACTAGAAAATACACATGCACCAGTATACATTACAGATTTAGATTATATTGGGTGCAAAGGAAGCCAGCCCAAGTACCGAGGGTACACTTGTGGATTATGGACATTATTTCATACTCTAACAGTGAATGCGGCAAACAAACCTGGAGTACAAGGTCCTAAAGTTTTAACAGCTGTTCATGGCTATGTGAAACACTTCTTTGGCTGCACTGAATGTGCTGAACACTTCCAAGCAATGGCAGCAAGGAATAGACTTTTTAATGTAAAAGAAAATGATAAAGCAATACTCTGGTTATGGATTTCTCATAACGAAGTTAATTTAAGATTAGCCGGTGATTTAACTGAAGATCCAGAACATCCTAAAATTCAATACCCAAGTACATTAAAATGTCCTGAATGCAGGCTTTCAAGAGGAGCTTGGAATTTACCGGCAGTATATGAGTATTTGCAAAGGGTATACGGAGCAGACAATATACAAGAGGGTCAACGAATTTCAAAATCCAGTGCATTAGCAACGAGCCCATTCTCTGACTTGGATATTGGAATGTTAAGCCTCCTGTACTTATTATCTTTTACTATCCTTATTTTAGTTATTAAATTTTTCATTTCTAAGCGTTTCCACAGAAAACGTCACTATAAGCATGGATGGGCTAAAATTTAATTTTCACATAAGTAAGACTTTGGGTACTATGCTAATATTTCATTTACATGGGCACAACTATTATCTAGAGAGCAAAATTTTAATAACAAGACCATTCCATTATGTTTTTAACATGTAGTGTTATATTTTATATACTTTCTACTTTATGTAGAGTTATTCAGCAAGTGAGTATTGATTACCAATGTAAACTTAATCACTTGCTAATAATTGTGACGGTGACATTAACATATTTTGTCACAATAATTTTTGTTTATCATACCAATCTGAGTATTCCTTTAACAAAATATTTCTGTCCATTATTAAATCTAGTCTTATGATAACAATTTAAAACTTTTGTGTCTTTTCTGCTCTTTCATGATTGAATAACAGTAGTTTTTATGTTTCTTGCTAAGATTAGATAATTTTCTATACAATCCAATTATATCCATACATCAAACTACATCACAGAGTATTCCCCAGTTTAAAAGCAATAATTTTGTAAATAAGTCACAAATGTCACAAACACACCATTTGCCTTAAGGAATTAATTGAATATGTTCCTATCTTAATACTGCCAAATGCATTATTATGATAGATATATAGATTATAAATAAATTTCAATGAAATGAACTAAAAGTAATTACTACTTAAAAAAATAGGACGTAGATAATGTACAATTAATTTAATTTCATTCCGTAATGTTTCGTTAAATTTCTTATTATAAAATGGATAGAAATCTATCAAAAATACAATTAAGGTATAATTTACTCTATTTATTTGTAAATTTGTATAAATAGTAACTATTGCCTAGGCTTTTACTTTAAAATTATTATTTTTTGTTATGTATGTATTAGAGGGAAGTAAATATATAGCAACACAAACTGTTAGATAGCTTTACACTGTTAAAACTATTGTATGATACATTTTGTTATTCTTCTATAGGAAAGAATAGGTCAGTAGGAACAGTGTGTCAATATAAGAGTTTTGGAAGATTTTCACAGTTATGAAGACTGTCATTTTGCATAGGCTAATTTTATATTGACGACTTGGTCATCTAGCTTAAGCTAAAGTTACATACAAGATGTTGAGAACTTCATTATCATCGGTTTCACTTTAACTTGCAACAATTTATAACTCCAGCATGTATTGTAAATAACAAGATTCATGAATTTGTGCCTTCATGCATGTCTACTTTAGTGGTGATATTTAAAAAATAATATAAAAAAATTTAAACAACGAAAGTAACATTTTGATCATTGGTTTCAGAGACCAACATTATTTATGTATAAAATATATTGTCATCCCTCTCGTTATCTTTGATTAAACAGAGGTAGCAATATATTTATATAGGCATTTTAGACTATGAAATCAATGATAAGAGATTTAATGACAAAAGACTTTTATATATTATAAATATAACCTCAAAAATTAGTTATGCCTATGTGTTGAAGTGCCTTTGAAACTGTGACTTCAAAAATACTACTGGTTGAGTAGTAGAGTAGTTATGGTTTTAGAAAATATTACTATATTACCTTAAAAATGTACCTACACAGTTCTCATAATGTGATTTATTACAAATTAACATTACACTGCCAATGTTATTGTAATTTTATTATGTCTATTTATAAGATAGAGCAATAATTATAGCGTATAAAGTTCGCGTTATAAGTCCATAATAATCGCAAATTTTTTATCATGATTTTTAAAATTATATAAATTTCGACATTTTTGATAACCAAGTTCAATATAAAATTTTCTATAACTAAGTCAATTATTACCGAAGGAACAATAATATGTTTTTAAAATCCAAAAACATGAGATATAAAGATTTACAAAAATAACAGTGCCTTTAGGATTATATTTAAATTGAAAAATCCTTAGAACTAAGTCATGGATAAGCAAAGATTGAAAGTTGACTTTATTAATTTTTCATATATTAATCTCATCAAGTCGCCAATAAAAAATTAGTCAATGCATGTTATATGTCTGTGTACATAAGCAATATATTATATAGTATATTAGTAAAATGATGTTAGAAAAGGTACCAATATATTTTTTGATATACATATATTTAGAGTGCAACATGTTTGACTATTTTTGACCATGCATACTTCTTTGGACAGGAAAACCGACTTTTTTATGATTATGCTGTTCCAAATACGGATAACGGGGTATTAATATTTAAATGTACTTAAAAAAAATACTGATAAAGTTCAAAAAAGAATTTTCTATATTTTGTTATTGATTTGGAACAGCGTATATCCTTATAAATGTTAATATACTTATTATAATAACCTGATTTATGGTCACACAGTGTAGTGTAACAACACAATAGTTTTAACCTAATTTGAGGAAAATGAAATAGTTGTATTTTATTTACAATTGCTATATTTATGAAATTTAATATGCTTCTAGTATTATTGAAGCAAAGTCCAGTGGATTTGTGCCAACGTAGCTGTTCGAGTTTAAAGTGTTGACAACAGTCAAAAAGAACAATTTATTAACATTTTTCGATCGTCAATATTGTTATTACTAATTTCCCATTGTCGGATAGTTTTTCTGATCTCGAAGTTTTCACAGGTGATCACCAAATCATGGCCATTTCCACTTTAAAGATAATCAGTTTATCTCTAATACATGTCCCATTCATAACGTTATAGTTTCCTTAGGAATAAGTTTATTTTATTAAAAACTGGTAGCTTACTGGTAGCAATTGACATCACATTAGGTTTATAGGTACGTTACGAGTAAAGACTTATTGGTAATGCTGAGCTCTAGAGTTATTTGGAATTAAAATTAAATTAGTGCTTTACTGCATTTTTGTGATAGATAACTACTTTTAGTGATAATAGTTTACACTAAAGTCAATAGCAGTTCTTTCTTTACCTTCTTTAATTTCAAAGAATTTACTTGTGTTATAACACGCGTGTTTATATTTTTTAAGTATAATGCGACGTCAGTGTCTTCAGTTGGACAATCCAAACAAATTAACGAGCCATTGTTACTTTACGCCAGTTGCACACAGCTGCGAAAGCGAACCTTAACCGTAGCTATGTTTGATATGAAACCTTAATGGATTTGGTATATTTCATTGTATGGCGTAACCAACGTTATTACAAGTTCAAACTTTATTGCGGTCCGTAGTTAGTTTTGATGTCTGTCCATCCCAGAAATGGGTGCCAGGTTAATTGTGTAAAAGAAAATGCGAAGCGGAGCATCTCTTAACGTTTTCAATGGGTTTTGCACAGTATGTGAAATTGCTATTAAGTTTGGATTGCTATCCAAACGCGATATAATCTGCGAAAACAGGAAATAAAGCGAAGGGTATGGGGAATTAGGATTATACCCTTAGTTTCATTTCTTATTTTCGAGGCTGTGTGCTACTAGTATTAACGTTTATTTTATAATAATTAAAATGATTGTTGGATCTTATGATTGTGTTAATTCTAATAATTTATTTTTTATTAATTACACGACATTTATTTTAGAATTACTTTATAAATTTGTAAACATTTTTTTTATGTATAGCCTATAATTGTTGAATAAGATTAATTTTGTTGTATTAATATTTAACGTAACGTTTGTCGGATTTATTGAACATTTTTAAGTTAGTAAATAGCTTTAACCTTCATTTATTAATTAGAGATATAGCCAATCACAATAAACTTCCTGGTAATGTAGGTTAGTGAAATAAATATTACTTTATTGGGTTTATACATTTCTATGTCCAGATTAAATAGATCGTATGTGCTTTTTACATTTAAAAATTTACATAGTTATATTTAAATGTTGTTATATGTGATTTGATATACTTTATAACCTGGGTAAGGTACCCATTTATTGATCATGCACTAAGTATAAGTGATATATTTAAGGAATTGAGAATCAAGTTTTTTAGAGAGCACATTAATAAATTTCACTTACAAATAATAGAAATTGTATTAAATTTTTACCTCAAAATTGTTTATTGTTTTAATCATTTGATTTAAATTGTCATTCATAGTAACATACAGCATATTATTGCAGTCTGATTCTCTGGCTGGGAATGAAATCGCCTCTATTTTTAGGCTAAGGTCAGTTGAAATTCGTATATCTTTATGGTGACGGGATTCTAAAGCAAAATTTTTATTTTAGTTTAAATTCTAAGAATATGTAAATTAGCTAATTGTTTATTTCAGCATTTTAGTTAGCTTCATATGTAAGTAAATTTATACCGTGTTATTATTTAGTTAAAGTTACATTAAATCCAAAATAACAGTTATTTTAGTTTGGCAGAAGTTACATAAAATTTATTTTAACCTCATTGTAATTTAAAAAGAAAATCGTATTCAATACTTGTACATTTATTGATTACTTTTAGTTTCAGTCACAATTCCAGTATTAATATGAAGGTAAACCAGTTTTGTTGAATAATATGTTTTGGTTATCGAAACATCGGGTTCTGATATATAATTATAAAATATCGCAATATAATTTGTGTACGGTCACAAAATGTCATCCATTTCTTAAACACGATTAGAAAAAATCATTTTTGTTTTATATCATTAAGCTATGCATATTTTTGTAATTAATTTTCTTGGCCTTAGAACCCCCGTTCACTAGATAATTAGTCGCCCGTTTGATCGTGCGCTTAATCATGTATAAAGGGACGCACATTACGCAGATTTTGCACGATAAAACTATCAGGCCACTAAGTCTCTAGTTTGCGGGGTCTTTTAACGTAAGTTTTCATTGCCTGAACACAAAAAGAATGTCATGGTTTTTAATTTATACGTTTTTATACACGTCCAGGCAGTAGAAACTCTCGGTTATGCTCAGCAAAATATCTGCTTCTTATAACGGCTTTGCTTTTTATGCTTCGCTTAAACTTATCTTCTGTTTGAAAATCTATGTTCCTACATTGTTTCTTTGAATAGCTATAAGGTACAGATCTTGTGTTGGAATAAACGGGGAATGTATTAGAGAGTAAATTCGTATGTCTTATTTTCCAACTGGAGGTACATTCCGGCTTCTGAGCATATTTTTAATTATTGAACTGTCAACATGGAATATATTCAAATATATTTTTATTAAAACATTCCTAGAATGACCTATTAAAACTTTGACAGCGAAGCTTTCAGTTTTTCTCCTCATGACTGCGAATTGATTTTATGCATCACAGGCTTTATTTTCATTTTCTCCAAATTTTGATATAATTTTTTTGACTTATTTTACTCGTAAGTTAATATAAAATCAAGTTAGAAGTTTATACAAATTTTTCAATTTACAGAATACGCCTTATAATTTAAAAACATGTTATTGTGTTATATTCGAAATGACCTTAAAAAGTAATATAATTTCTGTTTTCAGGTACACGGCGTAATGATTACTTCGTTAAATTGAACAAGTATGAAGCCCGGTGATAAAAAAAAACAGTTTAAATTCATACTGATATAAGGCCATTATTCATAAGTAACTCAGTAGACAGATCGACTTCGAAATTAAATATCAGTACAACAAATATTACAGGCACATTTTAAAGGAATATTGTATAGTTGATCTCATCATTGTAATGTTTAAGGTCAAAATGTAATTTGTTTTCCTAAATTGTAATAGAAAAAGCCATATTTACAATTACATTCATACTTTATAAAGTTTAATAAAACATTTGTTATAATTTGTTTATTTTAATTTACTATTAATGCACAAACCAGTGTTAACAGTTGGTAGTGACCCAGAAATACAATAGTGCCTTCTTCCTTTCCTTACGATGCCCAAAAAACAAAACAGGTACTTGTTAAAACTTGTCTTAATATGAATAAAAAGTTTGAAAAAATAGGAAATATCTTTATTTACGACAAATTGATAACGACTTTTCTTAATAATGATTGTATAGTTTTGTTCTAGAATTAGCCGATTATATTTTACAGATAACCTAAGGTCGCAAAAATATTCAGTACTCAACTGACCAAGGCAAAATACAAAATTAGTTGATGGAGGTTACGAGGGTATGACCTCTACATATCATGTGTTGATGCGGCCACTGGTCTAATTTAACTTTATAAAGACCAAACTAAGATTATCTTTCGTTATATCTTACTAATATTATAAATGCGAATGTTTAGATGGATGTTTATTTGAAGTTATCTCCAGAACAGCTGATAAGATCTCTATGAAATTTCACATAGGTCTAGAACTTAGTCTGGAAGAACACAGGCTACTAATTACTTATGTTTTTTTAATACCGCGTGCAAGGAGTCGCGGGCGTCAGCTAGTAGTCAATAAATTCGTAATATTAGCAATCATATCCTTATCTGAGTTGTTAAAACTTTCATCTCAAACGCAATCGAAGTGTAGCGAGATATTTCTTATCGCCAATGTTTATAGAGATTCTGTTACTGCATATTTTATAGATTTCATTATCTTTGTCTTTTCGTAACAACTATAACGTAACTTTTTTTTACACTTGGTTTTAATAACAAATGAGTTTGTAGATCTAATTACAAATAGACGCGGCTGCTTTTTCTAATTCCACTGGTGCGGTCGCGTCTAGCCGCTAAGTAGGAATAGACACTTATTGGCGTGGATACTTACGGAACGTCCTCTCTGTGCGTTAATATTGTCGGCTGGTCTCATACAATGTAGTTGCTTACATTATTCCTACGATGTCCTTAACAGTAATAGGGAGTTTCCGGTCTGTAACATCGTTCTCATAAGTATTGATTATATTGCATTAGCGTTGAAACACGCACTCAATAAGCTCACTGAGAATCCGCTAACGCTAAGTTTGAATAAAATTCTCGTAGGCGAACGTTAATCTTATTAATATTATAAATGCTAATGTTTAGATAGATGTTTGTTTGAATGAACCTCCGGAACCGCTTCACAGATCACGATGAAATTTGACATGGATGTAAACATAGTCTTGAAGAACACATAGGCTACTTATTGAGTTTAGTTTTAAATTCTGTGCGGATGGTGTCGTAGCCGACAGCTAGTACTTTATTATAGTCTTTTAAAACAGGTTTTTCATTATAAGAACATTGAATAAAAAACCATAGAAGTTTATTTTTTTTATTGAATATATATTAATAAAAATCATGCCAATACAAGTACATACATTGAAAATTGTGATTCACTCAGAAAGAAAGAAAGATTAATGTAATGTGCCATCGTTAAATCGCCTTTATATGTATACAAATTGTTACACACATGGCTACATAGTAAATATAACACGTTAAAACTGTTGTATTTATGTGGACTAATTAAAACTGCGTACTCAAGTCAAAATGACAAAATCGTATTAAACACGACTTAAAAACTAATTGCTAACAAAGATATTGCTTAAAACTTTGATTAAAATCACATAAGATTTTTATTTGTAAATTTAATTCTTATACTTTCTGTAAAGAATCGAATTAATATTTTAATTAAGATTAATAATAGAAATTAATAAATTAAAAATAATTTGTGCTTTACATGCAGCTTAAATTAATAAAAAAATGTAAATAAAGAGTAAATAAATCCTTAACTATGTTTCCACTTAACTCATTAATAAAAACTTTCAGGTCTTGTTACCTAAATAGGGTAGACGAAGACGACAAGACCAATAAAAGTCTATTAGATCCCGGAATATGTTAGGCGGGGAGTATAACTTATTACTCGGCATCAAAATGTCCAGAAAAACATGTCAGTGAAAGAAAAAAAATTCAATATAATTCCACGACACTATCAAACGCAGACTTTGTAGCGTAGCAAAGAGTTCTCACTGCAAACTACGAAGTTAACATCGTTCTAATAAAATGAAAATAATTATAATTAAACTATAATACTTAAGTTATGGCAACTGATAACAAATAAAAATGTAAAAGTAACAAGCCATTGTGCAAAGTTATAAATGCAGTATACAAAATGACAGCATCGGCTATGGTATTTGCGTAAGGCATATGCGCGAATTGATTACAAATTACAAAACACGTGCAGAAAGCCCATGTATATTATATATCATTTTTAAACATAATATACTCAGACAAATGTTTGCGGTTTTTAGATTCCTTTTGTTCGATGTCACAGCTCCTTTATCAAAAAAACCCCTGTCTTTATATACACACGAACAACAAACAAGAATCAAATTGACTAGTTACGGTCTGAAAGTTAAAAAATCTATTTGATTATTGACAATCAACACTAGATCCAAAAAATACACTAACGTATATGTATCAAACATTTTTTTTTAATTTGTAAAGATCAACCACATTACGTCTAGAAATGCGCTAGAATAATTTCAAATTTCTATACCGAAAAACCCTTATGAAGACCAAATATTTTCATTTACCCTAACGACAGTTTAGCTAATTAAAAAAATATAGTTTATAATTTTTTTTTCTTTACATGTATAACAGTCATTTGTAATCTACGTTTGCGAATTTCGGATTGGTCTCAACATTAAGTAGAACGTATGCTACGTGTGTACAAACACACACTTAGCTCTAACACAGCGGTTGCTACACTTTTCTAGTCTGTCCACACCGTTCTAAATTCCTACAATTTCCAATGAAAATAACATCTCTGCAAATAACTATGCTATTGACACATCCAGTTATCTTAATAGTAGGTATTACAAGGAATCAGCTAGCTGTGAGGTGCGCGGGCTCTTTATTCTCCAAGTCGCACACCGGCGGATCTGCTCAGTAGGCACATAAATTAGTCGATTAGAAGTTATTGCCACAATAAGATATTGTCATATTCTACTATACAATGTTTGTTAAATAATTATTGATTCATTTTATTGCATCGAATACGATCTTTGGCCGCACATCAGCTCTGAACCGGATCAAAAGTTTAGATCAGATAGATTAGAACTGAACTACACGACAACTAAATTGGCAGCTGATGGCTCATCTGGCTGACGAGTCAAGAGCTGCCTGTTGTCTCGCAATTCGCAGCTCGAAACGCAAATCACAAATTTCTACAGGTAGAAATAGAGCTGAGCTGAGCCATTTCACTGATCTGCTTCCGTGAGCTGATCTGCAGGTCATCAATTTTAGTCGATTTACCCATTACTAACGATCTTAAATATCCGCATTAATTATTCGGTAGTGCAAAGTGTAGAGAAAAATAATCTTGATTTCATCATCAAGATTTAAGTAGATTTTTTTTATAGGAGAAGGGGGCAAACGAGCAACGAATCGCCTAAAAATATCGATTATTAATCGATTTATAAATTTGTTAAAAATAAATATTCGTTTAGTACATTAGATATACTGTCAGTATAAACTGCTTAACCTACATTAAGCAATCCGACAGTTTAACATACGAAAGCTACAATTTAAATTCTAGGTATTATAACTAATCATAAGATTTTACTTTATTCAGGTTTATTCAGCTAACAATATCATTTGTACTAAAACAATTGAAATTTCCATGTAGTTTAGAGCATTCTAAGAAATTACAAGGAACTTTACTAAACTAAATAAATGTATAAATTTAAAATTTTCCGCACCAATAGAGAAGACGGGTAAATTCATTTCATTGTTATCATTTTAATTGGTTACAAAGAAACATTTTGTATTTATCATTGCATTTAACAAACATTGAATAGCAGATATCAAACAAGAAGAGCTACAGATGACCTAGATTAAGATTCTAAACCTAATAAAATCGATTATAAAAAATGGAGGGAATTCACAAATTGCATTATAATACAGAGATCAAAGAGCCCACGTACCATAACTTACAAAGTTTACACTGAAGTTCTACAAGCACCTTGTTCACTTAAATATATCCGAGCTATTCGATTATTATCAATACTAGTGTTGGCGGAGTCGAGTTATGGAGCTTTAATAAAGTCATATAAAAACAGTTGCGTAAATTCGCCAGCAATTAAAAATCAACATATCAACGGCCACGGCTTCGTAAACTAAAATAAATCGATACATTTGACACACAAAACTAATATTGATCAAAAACATGCAGGTAACGGAACGAATTCAGAAACGTTTACTTTGAAGTTTTAGACGGCGCGAAGACCCTGTGAAAAGAAACAATTAATTAAGTACTTGACCACATTGGTATGTTAACATTTAGAACTAAAGTTTGTCATCATCTACAACCATTGTTAGACATCTAAAGAACAAACATAACATATTATATATACCTTGAAATATATATCCTATTATGCATTGGTATTTAATGTTATTACATAAACATACATAACTAAGATAATTGTTCCTTTAATAATATACAACCATGCAATATCCCTTATGTATAGAAACAAATACAATACATATAAAATATATATATATATATAATACAAATAAACAAAAGCATATCTTTTCTTTGAATAGTCTTGGAATGTATCAAAAGGTCTTTTGACGTTACTGGAATTATCTATTCAAATCAACATTGACTTAGTACCTTGTTCAAATGACAATTCACAGAGTATTTCTTCATCGTATATCCATGTGTTTATCTTACGATACATCGTAAAGGAGACATAATAAAAAACATATAGTTTTGAGGAATTACAAAATGTAATATAGTTTATAGAATATAATTTTCATATTATCATAACATTACTTGCGAGAACTGGATTGTTATGTGATTGCCATCTGCATACATTTTCTCTGGGAAACTAACCAACATGTTTTCAAATTTACTAAAGTATCATTATAAATTTTTTACAACATAATAATAAAGAAATTAATTTTAAATCTAATACCTCTAATGTTTTAAAATGTGTTTTTGTAGATATTTTTCGGCAATGGAAACTGACGATAATATTTTATTAATTTCTAGTTTTTTATACCCCTCAGAATAAGAATCAATAAACAATTTAACATATTTACACATATAAATTTAAATTGTTTAAATGATAAAGGTTCTCGAACATGTGGATGTCTGTTGTCAAAGAAATATTATCTAATGAGACTCTGCGGCGCGTAATTAAGAAAACAACTATAAATAGAACATAATCGAACAGTCTGGAATCTAAATTGATAACGTTCATAATGTTAGTGTGTTACAGTGTACACATCATGTGCTCTTAGCTAACGACGAGCCTAAGTAAAGAATGAATCTTACATTATTTATGTCTGACAACCTTTTTACTTACCATTAAAAAAATAATAGAAAATTGTTGTACAAAAGTCTAACTTCTACATCTATACTTGCCTCACTGAGTTTAAACTTGTCTAGTTATCCACTTCAGTTATCGCAGTTTGCGCGCGGAGTCACCTCGCGCCGTGGGCGTGGGCGTGGGCTCCGACAGCGCCTAACCAACACCGTGCAGTTAATAGCGAAGCGATGAATTATTACAACATGCATGATATATGGTGCAGCACACAAAAACGTTACACAGAAAACTTTATTAATGATTCGCCAATAACTTAGGACTTAAGTAGTAATCTAGATCCCAATAACCTTAACCTTTGGTCAAACAATAGGTCTATCTCATTGAAAGTTTATGCACGTGACGTGTGCACAGTAAATATTGTTATTGGCCTATTGCCACATAAGCTTGGATATAATAATCTTACTAACATTATAAATGCGAATATTTAGATGGATGGATGTTTGAGGGTATCTCTGGAACAGCTATAGATCTCGCTGAAATTTGGCATAAATGTAGGACATAATCTGGAAGAATATATAGGCTACTTATTAAGTTTGTTTCTAATTCCGCTCAGACGGAATCGCGGGCGACAACTAGTAATAGATAAATAAGATACTGAATGATAATTCAATTATCTTTTACTTACATGGAAATGTATTTGACCTTGAAAAAAAAAACGTTTTTGCGTGCAGACTGGTAATTACAGTAAGAAGAATCATAGTAAACAATACAGTGTTATCAGTTAGGGTTTATGTTTGTAATGATAGGCAATTGTTAAAAGCAGTGAAAACCGTACACCAGTTTAAGGTTAAAAACAAACAAACGAAACTAATATTTATATAATAGTGAAAACTGTTATAAATATTAATGCTTTTAAATTTCTCCCGCGTGAATATTAAAATAATTATTTTCTAAATGAATTTAAAATTGATTGGATTCATTTGCTATGGTTGAATGTTAAAATCCGTTCGTCGTGTACGATACGATTACAACCGTTCATTGTTGATATGACCTTTTCGTATGATTACATCATCTCTTTACATTAATGAGAAAATTAAACAGTTATAAGTAAAGATAGTGGCCGTTCGAAGAAAAAAATTAGAGAGCAGATAAACAGACACGAATAATAATGTAATTAATTGAACAAAGAGTCGTAACAATTACTATCCTACTAATATTATAAATACGAATGTTTGGACGAATGTTTGTTTGGAGGTATCCACATAACAGCTGCATGAATTTTCGTTGAAATTTAGCATAAATGTAGAACATAGTCTGGAAGAACACATTTTTTTAATTCCGCGCAGACGGAGTCGCGGGCGTCAGCTAATACTTTATATAGTTATATAAGATGGTTCTATCTAGATCGTTTTCATTGTGTACATTATATAACATGCATTCCTTCTAGAATATTCGCTCTTGGGAATTGTAAACGGCTCAAAGGAAATTGTCAATAACTGAATATTCAAGTTCAATCAAGAAGCTTCCCTACTATTCCCAAGTACAATACGATTCAAATAACAATGTGCGGATCAATGACCTTAATCTGTTAAAAAAGAAAAGTACAGATTATAATAATTATTTGAAATAAATAATTTTTAAGAGATTAAACATATCTGTTTTGGGTAATTTCGATTATTTTTTTATTTAAGGGCTATGACGTCATAAGGGTACAATCGTATTTATTCTTGGTACTATCGTAATCCAGCTACCGTTTTTAAATAAATTTTACCCATTAGAAAGTATCAATAAACGTAAATGAAACATATACATAATTATATAGGTACATTTATCGTGAGAAAGCTGTAATGTTATCAAAACATAATAGTCGAGCACCAACAAGGTGATTCAAATTGATTTAATTCGTTACATATACGCCGATACTTGGGTGTTTAATAACACTACCTTACCATGGGATATGAAAATATTTTTTTATACATAAAGAAGTAATGATTAAAGTGTATGCCTGTTATATTGATTTATGGTAATCATTTACGATAATATCAATGCTGGTATAGTGACGTAACATTAGACGATATTAATATGTACTTATATAAAAACGGCTAAACACTCACGTGTATTCGTCCAGTGGCAGCATCGACTAGTTTCGAGCCCATCGGGGGCCCTTCATTAGGGCTTAGACATCAAATAATACCAGTCCCACAGACCCTGGTGAAGGGCCCCAGATGGGCTCGAAACTAGTCGGTGCCACCGCACGAATATACGTGAGTGTTTTAGCCGTTTTTATATCAGTTTATAATAATATATATATTACGAAAGTTTGAATAATTTAATGGTATTAATATGAATATATGAGCCATAAAGTTACTACACGTATTATGATACACAAACACAATCTAATTACAACTTTTTGTTAACTAAATTCAACAAATTAATTAATATTATTAAATTATAATCCATAACTGATCGATGTTTAAATCGATTTCGAATGCAATTCAACGCGTTTAATTACTTTTTCACTAATGTAAGGAAATCCTTAAACAGGTGAAATAATCTGTAATTTGATAATAGATCTTGGAACTCTTTAAAAATACATGGTATTGTTAAGGTAACACCAAATAAAATTGCTAAAAGTTATTATAAAATTTTGTTACGATCTACAATAAGCCTAAGTATATTCAAATTAGAAAAACCCTATTCTACGTTATCTGCCACTATAATTACAACTGTTCATACAATTTATAGAAAGAAACTATGTGAATAAGATTGCCAATAATACTTCATATTTCTTTAATAAGTAGCTGTCGCCCGCGAATCTGTTCGCGTGGAAATAAAAAATAACAACACAAAGGCTACTAACCTTTGTGTTCTTCCAAACTGTTTTACATCTATGCCAAACTTCAGTGAGATCCATGCAACTGTTCTAGAGATACCATCTAACAAACATCCATCCATTCATTTGAACATTCTCATTTATAATATAACTAACAATAGTAAGATATAAATGCGAAAATTTGGATGGATAGATGTATTGTAATACGTATATCCAAAACGACTTAACAGATCTTGTTGAAATTTGGCATAGATATAGAACATAGTTTGGAAGAATACATAGGCTACTTTATAAGTTTTTTTTATTATATCAGATTAAGCCGCGGGCAGAACCGTCTAAATATACAATGATGAGGTAAGTGAAGTAAGCGGTGGTGGTGATATGAGTAATAAAAGAAAAGTTTAAGGATAACATAGAAACAAAACAAAAACCCACATTGTTATTGACAAAAACCAGTGATTTCTAATAAAAATCATATTTTCTTAAAACTATGTGAGCAACAGGCGTGATATATCAATTTGTGATACCATACTTTAGTACAAATGACAAATAAAGTTTTTAAAAACTATCCCGGAACCCTAAATTGATGTCATAAATGTACAGGATGTTACTTTTAGATAGTTATATGATTTGCTTAGAGTAGAAAAGATCGTTTCCATTATTTCCAGTATCTACATTGAGAAATACACCCTGTGTATGATATGTGCAGCGTATAAATTCAATGGAAATAAGAAATTATATAATGGAATTGGGATATATAAGAGTTGATGACTCTTATAAATTTCTCGCTTATAAAAGTTTCATCCCAATGTTCTCACTGATGGTAGTTACTCGTTTGGAACAGACAATGATTCGATTATAGTGTTCTTTTTCAATTCTTATTTATTTAGGTTTAATTATATTTGCATATAGATCAGAATCTTCATCAATACAAGCATGTCTGTTTTTAATAAGTCTGTAATCACAGCCTTATGAAGGTAAAATAACTTAGAAAGGTCTTATAATTTCTCATTTCCATTGAATATACTATATTACAGATTTTTGGATGCGTGTATATGTGTAATTGCTTCAAGTGACGTCATTATTTTTTTTATTTACCTTGGCCTTGGAGATATCAACTCCGGTAACTCCTTTCACCAGCTCCGGTATGCATTGGACGATGGTGAGGACTTCACCGGTCAGCTTAGCCGCTCCCACTTCACCACCGCCACAAGACACCATGGTAACCTTGCGAGCTTGCGACAATGGCGCCGCCACCTCTGCCGCGACCTACAGAAAATAAGTTTTATTGAATATATCTTATTGAGTAGCAAAGGATAAAGAGGTGACTAGGATTGAAAAAAAATGAAATAGCGAAGCGACCGCTGCCTATAGACATCTGAAATTGCAGACGCATTTCCTTTAATCGACAGAGGAGAGAACTAACTGAAAGAGAATTTATATCCTTAGAATGCCTCCCCTCCTCCGTTAAATCCACTTCCCTGTCCCACTCTTTCCTTATAAGTAAAGGGTGTGAAAAGAAATTAGACATTAAGATAATTAAAATTCTAAAATTAAGCCTCCGCTACTACATTCGTCAGGCGAAACGCAGATTTGCTTCCACTTGAAGCCTGTCTTTTGTATGGACGTGGTATTGCACCGGAAAAGTCGACTTATTCATGCAAGTTGTAACATTTTAATGTACCTTTGGTAATGTCTCCAGCATCATATCAACCATAGCTGCTGAGCCGTACTCCTTCCATGCTTCAGCCTTCTTAGCCATTTGTTCTGCATCCGCAGCTGCTTTAGCTTTAATAGCATACGCTTCCGCCTAAAAAAGAAAAAAATAATTTAGTTAATTTCTCCTCTAACATAATTTCATCCTCGTCATGATGAAGAGAAATCTTTTTTTTCTTATTACAGTACATGAAAGTGTAATATTCAGTGAGAGAATAAAATGTTTAGTTGTAAAATGGTGTAGTTATTACACTTTTATTTTAATTTATTATTATTTAAAAACAATTACCACCATACTAATGTACCTGAAATGTCCAATGTAAGTTGACCTCAGATTATTAGATCAACAATATAAAACATGGTTCATCTTAGTCTGGACACTGTCATTACAATGGGACCATGCAAATTAGGTTTTAGGGATGTTAATTTGTTCATAATAATTATTTTCTTTAATTACCTCTCCGCGCACTTTAACTGCCTCGGCTTCTGCTTCAGCTTCAAGTACGGTCTTCAATCGGTGAGCTTCAGCCAATTTTTCCAGTTTAAACTTCTCCGCCTCCGCTGGTCTGAAAAATTATACTATTGAGTTGGAAACACCTTTATCTTTTATATCCTGCTAGCATTTGCCTGCGACTTTGGGCAAAATAGAAAAAGGGTAAAAAGTATATCATTTCTTACATAAGATTATATATGATAAACCTAAACAGTTATCAAGTTAATAAGTTAATCAAACATATCCTAAGGGAAACATACACATTTTCGAGATCATAGGTAAACCATGTGTTCATCCAGACTGTAACTAATTTTATCTAGATCCATTCAGTGGGTCTGGGGATACCTTCTAACAAACATCCATAGATGCATTCATCCAAACAATCGCATTTATCATATTAGTAATATACTAGTAAGTTTCTCGCACGTATGTGTGCTTTTAATACAGATATTCCTAAGTATGTAATCAATTTGATGATATGAATATTTTTTTTAACATGTTGACAATTTAGTGATTTTAGAATACAGCATAACTTAAAGAAATGTAATCTCTGGTATTTTATCTAATCTTCTATCTGTTTTATCAAATTATTATCGGATTAATAATAGCAAATACGTCAAAAGTCGTTTCTCTTGCTATTATTTTTCAATTCAAATTTTCACCTGCGTTTAAATTAAAAAGATTTTTAAAAACTGACCTGCGCACAGTCGCCTCTAATTCCTTTTCCCGTCTTTGGACTTCCCACTTTTGAACATTGATCTCTTGGGAGCGTTCAACAACTGCTATTTGCATTTGTTCCTCTTTGATGCGTTGTTTCGTTTTAGCCGCTTGCAATTCGTATGCCATTTCAGCTTCAGCCTGCAAGTATCAATATAAACAATTTAATATATCTCAGACTACTTAATTAATAACCAAATATCAAATATAATTATATTATCCTACTAAATTCTTGAATTCAAGAGTATGTATATTTCTATGTGGTTTTGTATGTATTTCAAATCTGTTATTACCTCCGGTAACATTTTGTGTTCTACAGAGTTATTGTCATAAATGACTAGCTATCCCCCGCGACTTCATACGCGGGGAATTTAAAATAAACTTGATTAGTTGCCTACATGTTCTAAAAGGTTATGTAGTAGATATATGCTAAATCAGCAAAATCCTTGGAGGTGTTCTAGAGATATCTTCTAACAAATATTCATCCAAACATTCACATTTATAATATTAGTAGGTTTAAACGTACCTTTTTAGTTTGTACTTCAACATCGTAAGCGGCTTTTTTTAATTCGAAATCTCGTTGAGCCTTCGCTATCTCGGTGTCATTAAGGAAGCGTGCCGCCATCCGTTGTTCCTCGGCCATTGCTTCTTTTATCTTAGCCTCAGCTTGAGCCTCAGCCTCGCCGATACGTGCGTCTCGTTTCACCTCCGCAGTTCTTGCCATACCCAACGCTTTTAAGTAACCCTGTGTGAAAGTGTAAAATTTTATTTTATTTAAACAATATCTATTATTTTTGAATATGTTTATTGTAAGCACAACTTTAGTATTTTTCATATTAAATGAGCAGAAAATATAATTATAAATTACATATTTAATGAGTAGCCTTCTTTTTACTTATTGTTACTTTCCGTTATATCTTAGTCCTAAATCTCCATTTAAAACATATTGTTATCTCCGTTTTATAAAAGATAATGGTTGGGATAACGATGGTAACCCACAGTAAAAATTATGGATAAAAAACTTTGATTCTTCTGTTATTTCATATGAAAATGACTAAAGTTGTATAATTAAGTCAAACATGTGCGCAAATCCACAGATTAAAAATCCATGCAATGTGCTGTCTTATTCATTCGATATATCAGAATTTCTTATATTTTAAAATAGGATTTAGTTGAAACTTGATTGATTAGAGCATAAGACTATATTAAAATGGGAAAAGCCTACATTCTATCAAATATTTGAAAATAGGTAAAGATAACGAAGAGAAGATACATATCTAAATTATTGTAACATACTGTTATATATATATATAAAAGATGTTAGATCAACACAAACTCGCATTATCATTTGAGACTTGGTCGAGAGGTCGAAGGAAGAGATAATTCATAAGTGAAGATAAGATTCTTACAGCGCTTAGTTAAATTTACAATACTATAAATATGTTGAACATAAAAATAGTTTAAACATATCACTAGGATGAATTGAGGGTAAAAATTGATATAATTAAAGGATATGGGTTTATGAAATGATAAGCTAAAAGCTACCTTTTACTTAACTTTACCAAACATTTTCTTAAATATCTAGTATTTAAAACAAATGGCATGATAAGCACACCGATGCAATACATGCATACAAGCTCGGAGATGATGAGCTTTTTGCTTGGTTTACATTAAGTCAGTACAGTAAGACAGTAGCGTATATAATCAGCACTGGCATACAAATAGTATAATGTAAAGTGTCAACAGTGACAACACAGTCTATCCTATGCTAATGCTACAGTCCTTCTGTACTGGCATAATATAAACCAGGCATTAGACTTTTCTATGCCACAACTAAAATAGTTGTACAGAACCGCCTCGTACAGTAGTTTGTTTCATCAAATTACCTAAGGTGTGGCAACACATTTATGACGTAAGTTCCAATTACGCGTTAAACAACGTGATGAGTTAACGACCGGATCCATTTCGGCTTCAATGTCGTTTGATAATAGAGCGACATAAATCCATAGTCTACATTAGGAATAGTGAAACATGACTAAAATATTTAGATCGCAACTATAGGGGATTTTATATCAAACTTTGTATGATTCTAAAACTGAATAAGTATTCCCCTTATAATTATCTTTAATTACATTTAAATATACTTAATACCACATTGTTTTTATTACTGAAACAATTTATAATTTTTCATATGAAAAACTCAGCAAAAGAAGACGAGACGGTGCTAAAAATTCAATACTGTTAATATGAATAACATATTATTGATGTTTGTATACAATTTTAGATTTAAACCACAAAACTACATTGTAACGAACAGTAACATTTAATGCCGTAGTTTCTAATAGTGTATACATTTAATATACTTTGATTGTTAATCAATATACAACTATATATAACTACAATATTTTCCTGTCATATTCTCATATATCCGGTATGTTTCTATTGAATAAAATGAATGATAACTAACATCTACTAAACATCTTTACATCAAAACATATGAATTTACACACTAGTTCTTTAAATGGGACATACCTTTGCTCCCTGGGGCCATGTCAAAAGAAAAATAAATCTACTAGAAAAACATTTAACATGATCATAATGAGAAGTAGCCACCATTGTGAAGAATAAAGTGTTTTATATCTATAACATAGTGCAAAGTTGATAGAACAGTCTATATACATAAATAAGGATTAAATACTAAAGTAATAGTGTTAGTAAACATAACAAATGATGGCTACAACTATGAAATCTTTCCGACCACAGCACTTAAAGGAACTACATCTCACAACAATGTATTAGAAATTCATTATTTACCTCTTCATCCCTGATGTCCTTCAGTGTATATGACACAACTGTGATTCCCATGTTGATAAGATCACTGGATGCCACTTCAAAGACCTTGAATAAAGATAATTTATTCAGAAATAAACGATGAAAAATAAAATCTTGGCAAGAAGCCTAATGTATTCTCAAGAAGGTTAACCCCTATTCAATTAAGACTGCACCAAAATAAATAATTTATATTGCTTATAAAAAATTGTATTTATGCAACAGTAATGTACCTAAACTGAAAATTTAAACTTTAATATTTTGAGTTTCTCCTTCTATTTCCAGCCATTTCTATCTTACAATCCATACAATGGCCGTAGTCAACTATCATTGTGAGTACTACCAGCTTATTGCTTAAAATTGAATACTCACTTTTTTAGAGAATATCTTTCGATCTTTGTAAATTTCTTCAACTGTCATAGATCCCATGATAGCACGCTGGTGACCTTCCAGTGTTACAAGAGCTATATGTTGGATCTCTTGCTCAGATTTGCCAAGAAATTGTTCGCAAGCCGAGAGCAGCATTTCAGCATTCTGACCTTGAATCTTCACCTGAAAGTTAATTAATTAAATAATTTAATTTAAATCTACCTAAATATATATGGTAAATTAATTCTTTTTGTATTATAGTATTCATGGTTGACTTTTTTTAGTTCAATATACCTGTGCAATTCCAGTGACTGAAATTGGCACACCTTGGCTGGTGTAGACAGTGGGTGATTCAACTTGAAGTGTCATTGTATTGAGTGATATTTTCTGGACACGCTGTATAGCTGGCCATACAAAAGCACGCCCACCGGGAACAAGAAGTGGCTTGGAGTAGCAGCATCCTATTAAGAAATTGACTCTCGCATAATTTTAACCAGACCCAGCAGCAGTGAAAACACCACTATTATTAATTTTATGCCTAGCATCTTTATAAAAATATGTTTAAACTATTATCAGATAATTATACTAATTCCCTATATCATAAAGTGAGTTAAGTATTGTGCAATTTACTAGGTCTCATATTTTTAGATTAATAAATAACAAAATTCATTATGTTAATGCCATCAACTACCTTTTATTAAATCTAATT